TCACAAATTAAAATAATGAGAGATTCACAAAGATATATTTCCTTCATTTCTTGAAAAATTTTGTTTCGTCCAGCAAGAAAACAGAAGAAATCTCACAATCTGCCTATCAGAAGTCTTAATTGACTCCTAAATGACTCCTGCTCCTAAATGAGACTTTTCCTTTCCTTTATGCGCAACCACTTATCTACCTTTAGTCTTCCAATTATTCTAGCTTTCTCCCCACTCATACCAATGAAACTGCCCATGTGAAAGTTTGGTGCATTAATATTGATTTTGTTAAGTTTTCCTTTCTGTAACAGTATGCATCAATAGCAGGAAGCCACTGATAAATTAGTCATACTTCATCAGTTTCTGAAACAAACACACGACAATAAATTCAAAGGACAACTTGTGAAATGACATAAGTTTGTGCGAGGCTTCCCATACAATGACTGGCGTCCGAGTACAACTATCATTATCCAAGATGATGCCTCAGCAACTTTCCCAGAAATTAGAGAGAGCATCCCAACATCAGCACCAGGTCAGCTGAACATGACAGCCCTTAAAGGGACCAACAACCGATTTTTTTCGGCCCAGCTTTTTGCGGTGCGACAGAAATCTTGCCCTTTGTAGTGTTCGTAGCTGCCGTAGTTAATCTCAAAAGCACGTAGTCGTTTTAGAAGCAGTATTTTTTTATCTGAAAAGCTCTGAACACAGATGAGCCCTTTTATCCAGCAACACTGAGAACTGATAGCGATGCCGGTAGCCTTTTTGGTGACTTGCGCATGTTGTCGTTCTGCTTTTGCAGGAGTTCCTGTAACTATGCTTAACCATGTTTATTCAGAGCTTTACAACCATTTTTGAAAAACAACAAGCCATTACAATGAAACGATGTGGCTTTATACAGCTTCTCCATATTTGTACAGCATTACGTGCACCTGCACCCAAGCTTGTTGCGCCCGCATCGTGAATGGCTTGTTCAGTCTTTACTCTCTGGACACATGAGCCAAGCCAAGTCACCGAAAACTTCACTGCGCTTATGCGTGGCAGTGCCGACTAGCGGTATACGTCATTTCTGAAACAAATTGAAAATAGCAAAACTGCGTCGCTCCAAAATCACCACGACCCGAAAAATGTATGCACAGTTTCGTGAGCCCGCAGAAAAGTTGCTCAAGATGCGCTGGCGAGCATGGGATGATTATGTCATGTAAAGGCAGCGCCACCTTAATGTGTACAAATAACACAGGCCTATATGTACATTTTTATGCAGAAATATCTTTTACTATAAAGCAGCAAACAATATTTCAATACTAATAAGAAAATTGTTGACTTATATAATTGAATTATTTAAGAAATAAAAATATAACTCCACTTTTCACGAGAAAAACAATGTTGCTTTGAGTCACTATGAGAAACAATCTTTCCATGTGTGCAGTCATCTCATTTCACGTCCTGAGCAGTTGTTGGTCCCTTTAAAGGTATTATGTTATGCAACTCTCCTTTGGCAAGATTTGTTGTATAATAGAGGTCTACACTACCAAAGAAATCTCGTCAAAGCAGACTAGTAAGTGTAAATATTTCATATTAGCAGTCATTAAATAGCACCTGCACAGGCGACACGCATCTAGTAGTTGGAAAATATGGCCTCAGAGATTCTTCAGAGCATAACGGGCAGGAGTTGATCTCCAATGTCATGCAGGGACAGTTGCGTATCTCAAGTTGTGTGTCAGTTTCAGCAAGAAGCAATGGTGGCTGCCAGTTGAGTTTGTTCGTTGTTGTGTGTTCTCCTTAAGGTAGATCAAAGTCTCGTCAAGGAGATAATTATCAACATTGATGAATTAGGAGGCAGGTTGGAGATAATGAAACCTAAAGATATATTGTTGCAAAATATTTACAGTCAGATATTTACAGCTTGATGAAGCACACCGACAACAACATAGATGTAAACAACATCTTACTTTTCTACTACATACAAAGAACCTCGTCTCGCTGATCGACCACTGTGTGGTTATGGCTCAGACAAAAGTTGCATTGTGCAGAGTCTTAATGATTTATCAGTCAAGTGATTGCAGCCTAGACTGAAAGAAAGCTAATTTCGCCCAGTATTTATTTCCTTGCAGTAAAAAAAGAGAAGGGGAGGTGATCACTGCTGGTCCACCTCCAAATTCTGTTAGTCAATCTGTTTACCGCCAGCTTAGGCCACTCCTTTTGAGGCTGACCTAATCTGAATGCTAGTGTTTTGACAGTTTTGGCAGGCCTTGACACACTTTCTCATCATGGCTCTCTCCTTCTTCTTCACAAACTGTCAGCGATTCCTTGCTGCGTGCGCAGATTTATTGCAAAGTTGTTTACACAATCTGTGCCATGTGCCCATTCACCTTCAGTATTCAAAATGCTTACTTTTCAGAGCCTTCTGTGAAACATTCACACTGCACTTCAAACGTCTAAACTGTGCATGCAAGTTGCTGCTATTTCAAACCAGGCTTGTTACAAAAGCAAAGAGTAGCAGATGGCTATTTATGAGAACCACTCAATAACGGTCACTTTTCCAGCCAAAATACAAAAACTGCATATAGATAGCGTTACTAAGCCCAAACAAAGTACTGGTCACGCGAGGTACCACTGATGTGCAAGAAAGGACGTAGGATGCCGCAAGCCACATAATTACAGACAGTCTTGCTTCATCTTCACGACCCAGGTGCATCCTTCAATGGCAGGCAACCTGCTCTTCAGTGTCGTGTAGATGTGAACGTTCACACAAGACATCTGCCTAGAAATTTCACATTAAGTTGCCCAGCAGAGCACAATTAGGCTCTGTGGCTGTTCTGTTTACCAAGTAAAACAGTTCAATAGATACTTGCAGGAAGCAGCACTTGTGCAACTTGCCAGTTCATAGTGATATTATGAAATAATGGGTAGATAAGAACAGAGGAAGTTATGGTGCAGATTTTTTGAAGCAAGAGTGGCACAAACTCAAAATAGAGTTTGAATGTTTAACTGGGGGTACTGTGAATTCAGTGCTGAGATCAGATTTTCTTAGAAAATAGTAAGACTTTTAGAAAGGCTTTGGATTACACAATATTTTCAATTAGCACTACAACTGAAGATCAAATTGTTTGTTTCATAGCAAAAAATAGTTCATCCAAGAAAAAAAAAGGAGCTTTACAAATGTGCTTACCCGGATTGAGAACAATAGAATTATAAAATATAAACTAACAAAGTAGACAAAAAAAATAATTAAATTTCATCACTACAACTGTGGCTGTTCACACATATCAGGACATGTCAGATAGTATAATTAAAAAAAAAAAGAATTTGAGGTATTCCATAAAACTGCATCTTTCAACTGTTTTTTTTTCTTTCTTATAAAATAAACATCAAGACATGCCTAACAAAACAAACACTACTTAATGCATGGCTTTGCCTCGAAAAAGAAACACAGCTGCCCAGCATGTTCACATCTAAACCTAAACTGTGACATATAATGTTCTATAAATGGCAGTGCATCGCGAGCTTGACATTCAGAGCACAATGAGCCAATTTAGAACTATAACAAAAATCTTCCACAATTTACTGTCGTCTCTTCTTAGTGCAAATAGCTGAATGGTAGACACATGTCTTGAACACAATAGTACTGCATTAGTTTTTACAATGGCAGCATCCTTCAACTAGGTTTCCTTTCCCACACTTGCCATCAAAGAAACCTGTGACAATACTACTTTTAATTCTGCACACAACTACATAGATTACTTTTCCCACACTAGCTATCAGAGAAACCCGTGACTGACATTTTTCATACTGCGCACAACTACATAATTAGTAAAACGAGAACATACATGGTCATGCTGGAATACACTCGATAATTTCCATTAAGTGTATTAATTCGTATGCATCACTTGCTTTTCAAGCAGTGCGTGCGAATGATGGAATTCACAGAACAAGACATGGCAGTTTTCCATGAAACTAACCAGCCTAACAAGTTTCTCTTACTCCTAGAATGCATGTAAACACGCAGACGCTGCTTCGGTGTTAATCCTGTACACTTAATGCAGCATCAGATTCACAATAAGCGACGAAATTTATCTCCAGACTTGAGTCCCTTTATGCGAATGTACATGTAGAGTAAAAAAGTCATTATAAGGAGCATATTTTCATAAAAATCATCCTGCGATTTTATGATGCAGACCAGGTACGATTCTTAGGCAACAACTGCCTGGTGCTCGCGATTTATTTAATCGTTTGGGTGTTAACACATCGGCGTCTTAGCGTGACTCATACCTCAATTTATAAATTACCTTTCCAAATCGTGACACACGGCCGTTGTCGAGTTTATTTTTCAAAGGCGAGATCGGTGCTAGCGTACGATACTCAGACTCATCGCTTACATGTGTGGCCATCACATAAAGACTAGCGAAAAATTGTGGAGCCGGTCAGATCGTCAACACACGACAGGCTGCATAACAGACGAGCCTCGTGCGGAGCGTTGGTAAACGAAACCTATCCGCGTTAAGCACCAGCTTTTCCAGTGGAATGGACGGCAGTTTAAGATCGTGAAGAATACAACAACTTTCTTTGGCATCGATGCAGCACACAGAGGAGTTGTGACATATGACGGCTTCGTCGCACACATCGGCCGATCGGTTTCCGAAGACCGCACATTGAAGAAATCCGCCGAAGACACGAACAATGGCGTCGGGCATCATTGTGCAAGTTGCAGCGTCGCAATGACTTTTCCCCAAATCACGTCGGCCGACGTACGATGGAAACGCGCGGCTGCCGGCACTGCTGCCAGTGGAGCGCCAAATCGAAGTGGCCACCCCTACGACGGAATGGGTAAGCGACGCGCGGTCCGCAGGAAATCAGCAGGGAAACATAAAGGACCGTACCAAAGGCACGGAAGGTAATGCAGGGTAGAGGAACGTGACGAAATGGAACGGTCCAACGGCCGGCATCGAAGCATCGGACACCGTTCTCAAAGCGCGATCGGCACAGCCGGCACAGATAGCGGGAAAGACACTTACCGAGACAGTTTTGGAGGCAGTATCGGGCCTTGCTTTAAATGCAAATGCTGCAATGCATCGCAAATTACAATGGAGTTCGCCCTCCTCGCGTTGCAAACTTCTCAAGTCTCGCGAGATCTCGCGAGAACTGCGAAGCAGGTGGGTGTGTCAGTTTCGGTTTCTCCGCGACGCCGCGGAAAGTGCTCCAGAGCGCCAGGGGGGGGGGGGGGGGGGGGGAGACAAATAATTGAGAGATTTCTTTAATAGGACACTCATACGAGGTGGTTTGAGAAACAAACGTCGAAAGCTCAGTCACATTTTTGCACAAGCTGCTCTTCAGGAGCTAACGATTCTTCCAAGCAAATATACAATTACCGCAAAATTATTTACATTTATATTTTCTTTATCAAGCCCAGCTGATATGTGGGGTTTAACATCCCAAAACCACCATATGATTATGACAGACGCCGTAGTGGAGGGCTCCGGAAATTTTGAATACCTGGGGTTCTTTAACCCATATATGCCTGAACTTCAGGATATTAACACTACGATTTTTTTTTCCCGAAATAGTAGCTTCTAAGGTCTCAGAAAAAAGAATAAAAATTTTATTCACAAGAAAACTTTTCCTAACAACCGTTTTGGCACCGTCATACCTATAGGACACTAGGCACATGAGGTGTCGCGTTGTGTCTGCCATATTTGAAGCGCGTGGCGTGTGCCACACTACTTAGTGAAATAGTTTAATTTGAAACGTTTTGCATGCACTGTGATGCCACAATTTTTACATCTGGTGGTCTCCTCATGGCTATGAGCATCTCTTGTTTGCTTTTTTGGGTGTCACCAAGTGGTCAGTGCCGTCAAATCAGCTTTGCGCGTCCAGTGGAGACTGGCAGCCTCTTCCACGCAATGGGTTGTAGCCATATCTCTTTATGTACGACATTAGTATTGCCCTTTGAAATATTCTCAAGTCTGTTTTGTGTGTTCCCATTCCGTACAACTGAAATGCATTGTGCGCACATGCATCAAGAAGATACGTTGGCAGTGATGACTACCACTTCATATTACTTAGCAATACTTCGATACAGTCGGTGAACCCTGCCTATGTTGCCATTGTATTTGGAAATCAAAAAAGGCTACTCCACCGTGAGCTTGGATCTCTTCTATCTTGAATATCTTTTCACAATTTGCTCCGATTCAAGCCCATGACCATTTTAGAACACAATAACCGTGCTATTGTCCTTCCTACGACATACAAGCATATCTTATTCGGTGTCGACTCTTGTCATCGTAAATGCCTTGAGACTTCTTTTTCACTTGTTTTGGCGTGCCTTCTTCATCACCGCTTTATGGACCTGTCGCTGCACCAGCATAATTGTGGGGTGGAATAATGGCAACAAGTGATGGCACATCACCGCCAGCGCCCATATGATACAAGATGTCGTTGAGCATCTTCAGGTATTTTCTTGAGTAAAATGGATTGTAGGGAAGCTCCAGAGTGCAAATTGGATAAAAAAATGAACGTATTATACACGCACGTGCATGTCACTGCATTACGACAAGCTTCACAGGCACAACGCAGCATGCGTTCCAAATTGATACAGCGCGACACCCCATGTGCCTAGCGTCCTATATGTAGGACACGAATGTTTGACAGTCAGCAACAATAAACTTTACCGTATATTACAGTCATACAAATTTTACTGCCCACCTGATAATCTACAAACAATCCACAAAAATATTGGCAGCATCGCGAACAATTTGAACCAATATTATTTGCATTTTCTTCCGCGGCATAGTGTTTTGCATCATGCACATGAAACAACAATCTTGTGACCGCGCTCACGAGACGACTGGGCATTGTCAAAACACATCAGGTAGAGCTAGCTTTTTTACGAAAAAAAAAAAAAAAAACGTTCGATTTACAACGTAAAGTTTTAGAATCCTACATGTAAGACACTAGGCATAATCGTATGTGTTAGTGTGCACCCGAGCCTACAGCATTTTCGCCTCCATCGAAAATGCAGTCGCTGCAGCCCGGATTCGATTCCGCGAACTGCGGGTCAGCAGCTGAATACCTTAGCCACTAGACTAGTGCTGTGGGGCATTTCACACGTTCTAATTTAAGGACAGTGCGCTGGCATATTATGACAACAAATGTAACCAGAACACATTACTGTCTTTCAGGCTTTAGGAAGTTTATTACAATACCTTGTAGATGCAACATCAAAGGCACTGCCATCACACTTGTCACAGATAAAGGAAAGTTATTTTTACGTCCCGTTTCACATGGCCGTCAAACAGTAGCTGTCCCGATAGGTTCGGATACCACTCAAGAACAAGTAGTGCGGAGGGCAACAGCCCATAAGATAGTCCCCCAAAATATTGAAAATCTTCATCTTGCACACTGCAATAACACACAACACAACCTTACACACACATTTAAACTGAATTGAATGCAGCAATCCTACCGCAAAGTAGCGCTAAAGGCCGATACACACAAAAATTATGCTGAAACACATGATTCAACTGCCTGCAAGTCAGATTCACAAAGCGCTGTACAATATAGCAGTGAAGTATCTCTTCAGGCCATCAATAGGCAACCAACACCCTCACATATTTACAATCAGAGTGCACCAAAAATTAACAAAAAAATTAATGCTCATTGGTGAAGCAAGCTTCAGCATCGGGCTTACTCACTAAATGAACTGACGGCACATCATAGCTACCAACCATAACTAAATGTTTACCACTAACAAGCAGCGAAACCAAAAGGGCCATCTGTTGTCCGCTTTTTATGTGAGACAACATCGAACAGCAGTCACACACCTAACGCAAGGAGCATTGTAACAATAAATAAGCTACATACAGATAACCACTTGCACAATATTTTTTAAAATTGAATATACTAATACCTAACCTAAAAGTGCACTTTAATATGCAAGCCCCAAGGTAGGGGAGCATTCTCAAATTACAGTAGGTTGGTCTGCCCGAGAGATGCTGAAAGACATTGTGAAATCAAGGAGTAGGGTCATTTTGCAGCAGCATAAAAACAAGAGGAAGATGTGCTACAATGGACCATCAAGGAATTGAAATTATTAAAATCCAAGGGGAAAAAAATGCAGTTCATTAGGGCTGCCAGTCAATCCCAACACTCGCTGCAACTTGCACAATGCAAACATACCATCAAAACTGCCAATTGTGTAAAGCAATCATACCAACAAATTAGTCCCCTGAAACTCAAAGCATCATGAGACCCATGAAACTTTAATTGAAAGCTTTCTTTATGCCACTAACACGTAATGCAGAGGCCTCGTCTTACAAACTCGTAAAAGTATAAAACGTGCCAAATGCGCAATAATTTTTTCTCTGACCTCTGTGAGAAATAACATCTTTAAAATGATTCGAATCTGCCTGGGAAACACTGAAGACAAGCCCGTTCTCGTCGGCCCAAAATTTGACCTGCACGGCCCCAAGGCAAACACGGCCCACAGCAGTCCTATGAATCTGTGTGGTCAATGGCAGTGCCGGTTCCACTACACAGCTGTGAAGATACGCGGTCAATCGGTCATGTGGTCGTGCACTTTCAATGTCACACAAAGAAAACAGTCACCTGCCTTTCCTTTCTTCTGACACTGCATGCTCGATACACCCAGATTGTGAACAGCACGTGCACTATCAGCACGACACAGCATTCCTCACAAAAAACTAGCGGGCACCGAGCTTTCAACAGAGAAAACGGTAGAAAGATGGACAGCGATTAGCTTCAGAGACAACAGCACTTGCAAGTTCATTACAAGACAGCTTGTGCAGAAATGACTCGAAGCCAACAATGCATTCGACATCAGAAAAAGAGACACGAAATGACAGAATTGGTTTTCCAGACGCAAGTGAGAGTACGTTGGTCGTGACAATACAGACAAACGCCTCGAAATTCCAGTGCATTACTTGCACTTGCAAGTGGATTTGGAGGTGGTAATAAGATCGGCTACTCCTCTTGGCAGACCTGCCACGGAATCAGCGCCTCAAAAATGATTTAATAGGGAACACTAAATAGAAATACCATGTAAAGCTCAGACTGGCGTGCACAAAACAGGCAGACAAAGCATGAAGACACACAACATGTAAATGATAGTAGGCTTTGCCACTTGCCATTTCTACACAAGCTGCGACACACATTGTAGAGTTGAATGTTCTAATGTTCTTTGCGCCAGCTGAACATCAAAAAAGTAATAATAAAATAATCACATTGCACTCGAAGAAAGCAGCTCATGAAAGCTACAAATATACACTGAAATCTTTAAATTTGCCATTTCACAATAACGCCATGGGCCCAGCTCTTGGTGTGCAAGCGTACGAAAGGCTAACACTTTCTCAGCAAATTAGCTATATTTTCTACCCAAACCTACGCAGATTCAGTTTTTAAATATTAGGCTATGATTGTAAAGTGAATGAACGTTTTTTTCTTTTTTTTTAACGTCCTTTGAAAGCTATCGGTGCATCACAAGCAAGGGAGGTATGCGGGCAAAGCAGCGTTTTCGCTGCCACAAATATCAATGCGAGGCGGTAGCGGAAAAATGCCACTGGGTCATCTCCATCTCGCAGCGCACCTAAGAGGCAGCCACAGGAGTGTCCCCGGCGCCCGCAGCCTCCCTCAAAAGCTGAGCGACCAGGTCGGCCAACGGTTCGAAGGTGGACACATAGCCCTGCCGGCTGAGGTGCAAGAAATCAAACATGTCGTGGTAGCCTATGGTGCCGTCGGGGCGCACCAGACCCGGGTCCAAGTCCACCAGCTGAACCTGTGGTTGGCCCTTCAATGCCTTGGCCAGCAGCTCGTTGATCTGGCGTCGCCGGTCACGTTGAGAGTTTGGGTGCTGGCCGCAGGGTAGCAACTTCTGCATACGCGCACATTAAAACGAGGAAAATGATGCGGCTTTAATGACTCCAAGCAATACATCGGCTAAGAGAGAAGGTGTAGTAAGAAAAAAGAATGAGAGACCTATTTCCTTTGCTCGTGCAAATACAGTATTCACTTTTTAGCTCGAACCTAATCTGAAGTGAACAATCAGAACAATTTCGAATAGTAGCAAAGATTTGAGAAGTAGTGGGTAAAAGTTATGACCAGCAAAATATGTTTTTACTTTGCCACAGTTAACCCATATAACATGCTTTTAAACTTTGGGTTGCAGCTAATGAACACACCTAACCTCGAAGCGTGGCTTCATAGCAGTGAGGATTTTGCCCGATCATGCAATTACACATCAAGGCAACCTTGCACTTTTCAGACAAGTTACATGCGGTAAAGTGCGCCTAATTATTTGTTAGTGATGGGATGTGCTCCTGACCAGGACTGCAGAAATAGTCCTTTTCCTCTTCTCCTCCACTATATGTGTCGAGGCAACTGCAATATTCATTTGAATATTCACAGAGCTTGAACAGTCGCACACAGCTATAGTTTAATCTTTGGTCCATGTCTACCTTGATCCCAGCAAAGAAATAATGAAGTTTCATCTCCCTCTTCCATTGATGCACAGAAATTATACTTGGCATCAAAAACCTCCAACCTTGAACACAAAATTTCCCTGTGCCCGTGCCGCTTGGAACGATTTCTGGTCAGCAGTATGTAAAATTCGGCAGCTGTCAAAGAAGAAAAACTCAAACTCAACAAAAAGGAAAAGCCAGGTTGCACATTGGTAAGCATCACATTTACACCCTAGCAGTACACAAGGGAGCTGGTCTGAGGAAGTGCAGATGACGATGACACACCACAAATGCACAGAATGCGCACGGCCACTTTCCTGCACAACGAAATGCAGCTTGTGGAGGACCTCAAGCAGACCGAACGTTTCTGGCTTATTTTATCGATGTGATGTGTGCATCAGTGACACCCCTGTCACCCTGCGTACAGCGGAAGCAAAATTTAAAAAAATTTTTTTAAATGTCATATGCATGGACACCCATTGATTGCAGCGGGTGTCCTCACTTGGTGTACTACGTCATGCAATCAGGCAAAAAAAAAAAGAAGTACCACGTTTCATGCCATGGCGCCGCATGGTAGTATAGAACAAAGCCATCATTTCTTATACATAAGAGGGTTGGACAAAGGCCGCTACCATAGCACAATTATAAAGCTCTGCACTCATGATAGTGAGGTTCAGAGTTCAAAACCAACTGACAGCCAGCTGTCTCTGTTTCCCTTTATCCCACAATAACTGCATTTAAGAATTACAAATAACATCCCCTATGCTTTCCTCATCTGTCGCCCATATAAGTTAGTGTCTAACAAGAATGCTGATCTCATTGAATTACCCTCTTTTTCATTCAAGGTAGAGATAACATTACAAAAAAAAATTATTGTGCACTTTGATTAAACTGATGAGCTTCCCTTAAGGAGAAACCTGGACAGGACACCTTCTTTTTTTACTTTTAGACTGCTTCCATACGCACGCAAACACTTCAACTTTCAAAACGTTTTCATACTTGCAAACTTTTTTATGATTAATTTAACTATTCAAACTTCCAACACATTTAGAGTGCATAATTATTCTGCATCACACTACTGCCTGCTAGGATTTTGTTCAGCTCAAATGGACAAGTGAATGCCACCAAAAATGCAGGGGCACCGAGTCTAATACAGGAGACATATTTTATCTATTTTTCGGCTTCTTTTCTAAGGGACCTACACAGGTTTAATGTGTATACTTGTGCCATTTTCAGCTCAACGCCAGCTTTCGTATTCCTCGCAAACTGTCTTCTACAACCTTTATTCAAACATAGTTCACGAAAAGCTACAACCTAATCGATTCGCCAGAGAGATGTGAGCAGTCCCTGTTTGTACCAATAAAAAAAGAACAGCAAGATTGTCAGCGACAGGTTTAATAATGTAACAAGTGTGAAAATAGTATATTTCACTTCTGGACAATTCTTTATAAACAAGAGCACCGTGGCATCACAAGTGTCCAGGTGCAAGAGCAGAAAATTTCAGCCCTATTTTATTTTATTCTGATCAACTTGCTCAACTGAAATAATGTTTGTAATAATAGCATGTGGGATTTTACGTGCCAAAACCACAATATCACTATGATGCAACGCCATAGCAGAGAGCTCGGCAAATTTTGACGATCTGGTGTTCTTTAACGAGCAGCGACATGAGGAAGCATATGCGGCTCTAGCATTTCACCTCCGCCAAAGTACGAGACTGCTACGGCTGGGATTGAACCTGCGATTTTTAGGTCAGACTAGAGTCACCTTAGCCACAGTACCACTGAAGCGGAACCAACTGATGTCTCGCTTTGGTGAGGTAGCCCGTATTTTCTATCCCATAACGCACAGAAATTATAGTGAAAATTGAAAGCTGAAATGTGTGGTGCAGGTTATAAATGATTTTGGATGTAAAAGGTGGCTTCATGACAAAGCTTCACGGGCATCTCCCCCCACCCATCTCCCCCTTCTCCCATTTGTTGCTTGGGGTGAAGATAATGTGCAACGGCAAGGTAACCCCCCCCCCATAAAAAAAAAAGTTAAAAAAATATGTATGTCAATAATGCCTGCATCCTTTGTCATTTCTCTGGGTAGAGCACAGTAAAAGCTCGTTGAAGGTGCCTATAAAACTGCCCGAATTAGGCAAAGTTCAAATAAGCGGGCAAACACTAAAATGAACCTACATTGCGCCACACTGCACGTGCAGATCCCAAAAATGACACCTCTGGACTTGTCATTGCAACTTAGGTGCTACTTCATGTTCGCAGCAGGCGATTTGATAAGTTAAGTTCATGGTGCTCCAACAGCAAACAGAATTAGTCGACCAGTCAGTGATATGCCAGAAACAAGCACCGACATGTATTCATGTAAGTAGTGTGCGCTAATGTCAAACTATATGAGATTACTTATGCTTTGAAACACATTTATTTACGTTGCAGAGATAGCACAATCAAGATTAAACACAATCGGCAATTATTTGCATTTGCTCGCTATTCTCCTGTTAATATAATCGGCAATTATTTGCATTTGCTCGCTATTCTACTGTTATGACGACATGAGCAGGGTTTGCAGCTTGCCCAAGAGCTCCAGTGTGATGATGATACGTTCACTATGATAACGGATATGGCCGGTGGCATGTCCATTCTGCAATGCCATGGAGTAAAGGCAGTGCCCTACAGTGGCCACCCTAAATATGCACTTACCAAGACGACCACTTGTGCCTCGGGAAGGCGAGACTTGATGGCTGTTGTGCAAGTCACTATTCCTTCGGCAACGGCCTCGGGAGGACTTGTATTATTGTTGGAACCCACAGAGAGTACAACAACCTGAAAGTAGAATTGGCAACTATAATTTAAAGAGGCCCTGCGACCCAACTTGAGCATGACTTTTAGCGGCAAAGCTCTTTTTAGTCTAACCCTGTCATGTGTCACGCGTAACTGAGAGAAGAAGAGATGAGAAAGAAGGCCGTATCTCCCTAACAGTATAATAGATGACGCTGTCTCATAGAAGTACATAAAAACTGTAGTTGAGTGAGGATATTCTAGATGGCGCTGTACCGCTACTCTCCGATTGGCTGCTGCATGGGCTGTGCTTAGGTACGCAGAGAACAGAGTGCCTCTCTCTGTCGCATGTATAGTCGCCGTACGTGGCAGATCGCAGGTGGGGCATGAATGAAGCAGAGCAGCGGGCGCATTGAAGATGCTTGTGCTTGACTTCCTTGACTCGCGTCTCGTCGATGTTACCGGCGCGCCATCTGCATTCTCGAACGCGATTAGACACATGCAAGGATGGACAGACACACGAACGGATGAACGGACACTTCGCCCCACTCATCATCGTTTTCTCCGTGGATATGCAGTGATATTTTTCATTGGTTCCTGCTGGTGCTGTGGAATGCGCAAATATTTTACGCAAGTGACAATGCTGAAATCGAAACTGCTATAATTTTAATTCGTGGGACAAACTACTTTAATTTGGGCTACGGCTATACACATTGACCATTTTTGTTATGAGAAGTTACATCAAAAGCCATTCCTTTTTGATTGTCTTGACGCAACAAGTAGCATGCAATATTTATACAGTGGTAGCTAGGCCAAGTGAGTGAATACTAGAAACAGTAAAAACCTTTTTTATACCTTCTCAGCAAGAAATGATTTTTGTTTGTAAATGACGTACTTTCAGAACATCAAACAAAACACTTAGTCGGCAAACATGGCTATTGCACACCAGCAACTAAACTTAAACGCATGCTGCATTTCTAGCGAGCCAAAAATGCGTTATGCGGTGGATGCTGGCATTGCCGTAAACCTTTGGAATGCAAGCCAAGAAGTGTCCCCACCTAAAGGGTATACATCTTACACAGGATGACTGTAGGAGCATCTCATACCAGGCACGTAGGCAAGGAGGGGCCCAGCGGGACCCCGACTCCTCCCCCCCCCCCCCCCCCCAAGGAAATTCGTTCAGTCAACCAATAAGGCCACAGTATATAGGCACAAGAACAGGTAGCGGCGTACACATTCAAAGAAAACAAAAGCAAACACTATTTAAAGAACTTACCAAGAACAGTTTCCAAAAAAACCTTTATTCTGAAAGCACGACAATGCTCACTGAGCAAGTCAGCATACGGCCCATGAATCAACACCACAACAGAAGCACCACTCACTCATATGTCTGAGGCGTCAGCGAAACCATAGATTGTACAGGAAAAAAAAAACATCCGAGTGACTCACAAGACTACCACCACATGCTCTCCACATATTGCCAAAGACCATCCACTGAGGGAGGCAGCCAAAGGCACTGTATACACGGAGAGCTTAAAAAAGGGAACTTTAGTGCATAATGCGATAGCTTTGACGACCCATCAATCTGTCCGACCTCACTCGCACATATGTGAACCCCAAAACTTTTTGTCCGCTGCCTCGGTCTTCGGGCAGGCACCCATGGGGCTGAAAGAGTAAACAGTGTAAACAATTTGTACGGTTGGGACACCCGCCTCCTGAATGAGTGCTTATGTGGCTCTCCAGTTATTCGTCTATTGCGCGTCGACAGAAATGCCATAGTTGGAAAACATGCTCATCACTATTGGCAAAGTAAGCATTGATTGATTTGTGGGGTTTAACGTCCCAAAACCACCATTTGATTATGAGAGACGCCGTAGTGGAGGGCTCCGGAAATTTTGACCACCTGGGGTTCTTTAACGTGCACCCAAATCTGAGTACACGGGCCTACAACATTTCCGCCTCCATCGGAAATGCAGCCGCCGCAGCCGGGAATCGAACCCGCGACCTGCGGGTCAGCAGCCGAGTACCTTAGCCACTAGACCACCGCGGCGGGGGGGCAAAGTAAGCAGACAACTACCATTGTTACTTACATTGTTGTACGTGTGGTACTGCGTTGTTTGCATTTCCGTTAGAAAACAACGTTCCTCGTATGTGTGGTGGCTGAAACTTCTAGGGATGTTTAGTAACTGCTCTGGCGTGGGGTGCTCAACAACTACAAAAACTCACTTGCCACACGGTTTTACTAATTCACCCCAAGGCTTTATAAGAAAGAGCAAAGGAAGCAATGGATCACCGCCTTAGTTGGGACAGATGAGCCGCTTCGACGTGGGTGTTAATGCATTGCTTCTTGTTCTCAAGCTTTCATTCTGCCGTATTGACGCTCGTTGGATGCACTCGATCATGTTGACACTGATAAACGAAGAAAGTTATCGTAGCTTAAGCGTGTGTTGGTTCGGTTCGACAGCCGTGCAAGGGCACTTAGCTGGAACATTCTGCATTTATTATTTACAGAAACAGAAATACAGCAATTGTTGACTTCAGAAAGAACAAGCAGTGATTTAGACGTCGCATTTGTAATCAAAACAAATGGGATTTTCACCAAATTGGCCTATTCACTCCACCTAGACAGCAGAGCTGACGATTCGTTTTCTTTCGCAGTAGGAGGTGACCACTTCAAAACTTGTCAATGGTCCCATGGCGTCATCTATTGATATTTTTCAACAGTCCGACTGACCGCACTACATCATGAAACATGTCTCCTCTGGTAGAGCGAGCCACGCTATATCTTGAGCAACAGACTTCACTAACTTTGTAATAGACAACATCTTTGTTTTGCGAAGTAAAGGGTGACAGTTGCAATCTCTGAAATGCAGGCACAGATTCAACGAAGGGTGGGCCTTCAGCAATGACAAGGAGATGAGATATACCGCACTCTTTCCACATTTGACTAACGTTTCACAGTGATTAACCTCACATTCACTCGAATGTGAAAAAGGTGCGGTGTATCTTATCCCCTTGTAATGTGGTAAGTGCTATATCGAGCAAATCGAGAGGTGTTTGAATAACCGTCTAATGGGTCACAGAGCATCACTCAAGGCCCACCCTTCGTGGAATCTGTGCCTACATTACAGAGATTGCAAGTGTCACTTTTTGCTCCGCAAAACAAAGATGTTGTCTCGGCACAGAGATAGGACAGAGAGAGAAGTTGCCGAGGCTTTTTATATTCACAAGCAAGGCGAAATGTCTCGAGGCCTTCCATCACATTGCACCAACTAGAGATAGGTTACCTAACTGGCAACCTCTAATCTTTTACGCCATTTCTTGCTATTTATGTTTGTGTTTCTTTCAATAAAATTTCAGTTGCTAGTCTGCACTTGCGTGTGAGCCTTCTGCGTTCTTGTCTCTTTGTCGTGCAGTTTTTGCAGTTATGTATTACCAACTCACCCACCGTTCATTCCTTTTACGTAACCCTTTAGCAGGTGACCGTGCAATTTTTTTTTTTTACATTGAGCTTTACTATATGGTAAAACCATTGCTAATGCCATTTTTTAAAATTGCTTCATAAAATGAATGTTAACATTCTGCCTCTCTTGTGTCGGAAGCATCCGTGTTTTTTAGTTCTTTGTCATCCAATAAAATTGTTTGCTCGAATATGTATATTCTTAGTTTAAAAATTCCTGCCATAAAATGGCTCCTGTTCTTCTCAAAGGCCTGTTATTAAACAGTGTGTGAGAATTTCGGCAGAGAAAGCATCAATATTTTTTTTTTTTTTTGCCGCCCATGCTTAAGTGAACCACCGTTTTTTTTTTTGTGTTCCCCCATTTCCATTTTTTTGTCACTTCTATTTTTTTCTAATAATTCCGCCGTCAGCACCGTTGGTTGTGAAAGAAAAATCGAGAAACAAGCAAATAAAATAAAGAATGAAATTTTCTGTCCCATTGAGGATCGAAACCGGGCTGTTCGCATGGCAAGCAGGTGTCCTACCACAAAGCCACGATGTTTTTTGCAGCTGCTTCGGGGAAAAACACTATATAAATGCCATGTAGTGGAAGGAGTATCCTTAAAGCATTTTTTCAGCACTGAATAAGGCTGTTGCAAAAGTGTCGCGGGGCCCCTTTAATACAAACTCAGGATTTGTTTAAAATTAAGCTCTGGAGTTTTTAAGCAGCAAAAGTGTCATGCGATTGTGAGGCACGACATAAGATTCCGGACTGTTCCTAATGACCTGAGGCCATTGAATGTGCACTTGAATCTAAGCGCAATGCACATGCTTTGCAATTCAACTTACTGCATTTTGCAATCATTAAAATGCGTACATAGTAACTGCCACTAGAGTAGGTAACGTTAGCATTGACAACCCACTCAGTCAGCACACTTACCTGGCTATCTGTGCAGTCATCATGACAAATGCAAACATGACTACAAGCCTCCTCCTCGCTTTTCCACTCTGATACCAAGTTTTTCGCACTATAATTTACCCAGTCTTCCTCTCTGTCTTTTTCACTGTCGTGGTCCTGGGTAGATTATCGTAATTGTTTCTCGATAGGGAGACGCCAACACTTTTGGCTGGCTCGTGGTCAACCGCAGACTGTGTACACCGCACAAAATAACGCCACTCTTTCCGAGACGCACGAGCGTGGAGAGCACTTCTGTTTGCACTTCAAAAGTTGTTTTGCACTTCTAAGGTAGAAATGCGTCATTACCCCCCGAACTACGCACCTTGGCTTTGATGTTGTCGAGCTCTCCGTTCTCGATTCTCCAAAGCACATTCTCGATTCGGTCTTCAGGGATGCCGAAGTTCAAGCAGTGCAGGGGCGCAAAGTAGTTTTCCCACACCTGCGGACAGCACAGTATCCAAATGAAACATGAGCGTCTGAAATGGCACAGACAAGCACAGAGATGCTTCGACTGAACAAAACTTGCCTCGGACTGCTGAAGGAACGCTACGGTGTAGTCACCGAGCACGACTACGTCCGGCTCCTTTTCCGTCCCTTCCGCCAAGAATAACTTGTGCTGCGAAAGCGTCGAACAACGAAAAGACGACGTTTGAATGTCAGTTGACACGATCACAAAGACATTTACACCGAAACCAAGCATGCGCACACTCGCGCCAAGCACGTTGGTCGAGAATCACGACGGCGTCCCAGTACTGAGCTCGACGGGAAACGCCAATTGATCTAATGATAGAGCAAAAGCGCACGGGTTCTGCGAGACAGCCTGAACGATCAATCATGAAAGAATACCAAGCCAGCAGTTCATCAAACTCACCAAGCACAACCACCGGTCATCGCCGTCAACACTTGCGCCGGGCTCGGGCACCGTACAACTCATGTTCAATCAAGTTTCAATGGCGAATGAATGAGCACTTTGTGTTTTACAGCAGGATGTGCATATTCAAGTCGGCACGAAGTGTATGTAATAAGCTATAAGCCAACTTATACGGCGTCAGCGATAAGGATGCTACAAAAGTTGTGTTTACACGCACAGCCTTTTCAATGTTTCTGCATCGGACCGCCTGTGCAGCAAAGGACCTGCCGCGTAAAAGCTTTTTTACAACTTTTTTTTGTGGCGCTAGTGAACTAACACATATAATGTTAAGTTTTAAACAAAGTGCAATTACTACTGTAACAAATAAATTTTGATTAAATTTTTTGACGTTTTTCAAGATATTTGTGATAAAATGTTTAGCTTGTTTAGCATCACATTTTAATTGTTTGTAGGACGATTCAGAATCGCAGTTTCGCAGCCCATCCAAATGAAAGGAGGAGAGAAAGCGAATGGAGTAAACCCGGCGGCAGCAGACGCGGCCGAGTAAATAACAGCTGACGATCAGCTGATCACTGCTTTGATCTTTGTATAAAAAGTTCACAAGAGTAGCACGAAGACACTGCGACATCAAGCGTGGTCTTCGCACTTCTAGTAGACCGCCTCAATTGTGTGCGACGCTGCGACAACTGCTGATAAGTGCTCCGTGAGCGGAAAGTGTCCAGTGCGCTGCGGTGGTTGTGTTATGGCTTGAACGTGTGTGACCATCAGCGTAACATCTCGTTGCGATGAAGTGCGTGCTGTGTCGACGCAGTGGTTTATGATCTCAACGGTGTTTAGCTTCGGTGCTTGTAGGTCATTGATACGTTCATCGTCGCAGGTGGGATTCGCCTTGCTTTCAACCATGTCGACGTTGGAGACGTTGAGGTTCGATAACTTGGCCCTGCGGACGCTGCCGGTAGACAAGGAAACGCGAAACTACGTGCGCACGGTGAGCGGTGCCGTGTTTTCGCGGGTATCGCCCGCGCCGCTCGAATCGCCAGCGATGGTCGTCTTTTCGGATGATGCAATGATGCTGCTAGACCTTCCGGCGTCCGAGTTGCAAAGGAAAGACGCGGCGGAGTACTTCTCTGGCAACAAGCTCCTGCCAGGCTCGGAAACGGCGGCGCATTGCTACTGCGGACACCAGTTCGGCTACTTCGCTGGCCAGCTCGGCGATGGTGCTGCAATGTGCGTTGGCGTTTTTCTCGACTTCTGATTTCCATCTTTTTTTTTTTGTATGTGCCTTGACGTCATTCATAGAGGGCCGCACCTAGCAGTTCAATTAACAATGCTCTTTTACGGAGTAGCCTTACTGCTGGTCAAATCAGCTGTGAATATACCAAATTTTATTAGTTCATGTAACTGTCAAAATCAGTGTTAAATACATGTTGTGTTTTTTTTTTAATGTGCAGTAGGATACAAGAAGGTTAAGCAGAGTCCATGTAATTTAGCACTATGTAATCTAGTAAGGACTCGACGCTGTTTCCAACGGGCCGTAAAACGTGCAATAGAGTGAAAGGTCATGCAGTTGTGACATGACAGCAAAAATAAAAGAAGAAAATGTACTACTGCTCAAAAATATGACAAGCCTGCTGCTTTCTGTAAATAAAATTTAAATCAACTGTTATGAAGTTCAAGTGTCTGCAATAAATCGAAAAATGACCCCCTTAATTGCCCTAGTGGTTCAGTGGCTCTATGATGTCCTGCCACCGAGCTTGTAGAATCGACAGTCTGATTCCGTTAACATGCAGCCAAAGCTCCGTTACGATGCAGCCAGAGTTGCCTCATAACAATGGAATATTTGCATGTTTAGGAGGGTTGCCCCCTAGATGGCACCAGTGTCAGAACAGCAGCACGCCCATCTTCGTAGTTTTTGCGTAGGTACTCAACCTCATTTCATCCATACATGCTGCAGAATCACGCTCACAGCCTCTTGTCGGCGCTCGTCATTTCGACAGAACCGATGAGGCGCGTTACCAGAGAACATCTGCACCACCATGTACCACGAGATGGCGGTGGGCGCCGCTAGTGCCCTAAGTGGATGGTATCACTTGCAACCCTCCTATATGAAGCTTTAGACAGATGTTAAAGTAACGTAAGCTTTTACTACCTCCAGACATTGAGACATACCTCCGAATCTGCTGATTTGAATGAGAAAAGTAAAATGATTCAGAGAAAGTCAATTTTTCTACAATTATACAGATGTTCGAGGCATGTGCACACCATCGACCCTTTCCCTGTTGTGCTGTTCCACTGATTAAGCTTATACAGCTCGTTATGGAGGGTTAAAAGCTCTCTGGGTTTGGCTGCAAAAATGATGGAGCTAAGTGCACGCACCGTAAATGCCCCAGTTGACAGAGCAACAGTGCCTTCGACTGCTGAATTTAGCATAACACACAAGCACAGCGTGAGCAGAGCAGCGTTTCTTCTAAGCTGTTGCACGTGTGCGCAGTAACTGTCAAATTAAGATCTTCTTATATTTCTCTCGGCATTGACTAATACTAATAGTTTCCTTTTGGTTTCACCATGCAGAATCATTGCGTAAAAACATGCACTATTGTATACCTTATGGCTTTGTATAGAGGCACCTTTCACAGTGAACAGCTTGTGTACTGTAATACTGGACCATCATAAGCACTTGTATGAATTCAGTGCATTCAGCTTGACTTGTGAAGTGGAACTTATCAGCAAGAATGGTCTGCCATGCTTCAAAGTTACGCCCAAGAACATTCTGTCATAGAAAATTGTCTTTACAGTGCTCAATCAGGTGTTTAAATGCTTACCGTTATTACGATGAAATATTTTATCCTTTTCTTTAATTTTAAGTTTATTGTTTATTCACTGCTCTGTTAAAAAATGGGTATTTGGAACTTGTGCATGTCCCTGTAAAAGTTAGCAAAAATTTCAAAGAAATCAATTTTCCACTTAAAGGGCCCCTAAACCAACAAGGGGTTGAAATTTAGCTGTGGTGTTGCAGTTGTGCGTGCATCTACAGCAAACATCAACGAAGGTAACATAACACGTGTTTTCTCGTTTTGCTTATTCCTTCGCTAGGCTGCATTTGTCAGCATGTCTGTCCACCTCAGTGGTTGCCCTTCCTCAGTTTCCGAAGTAGAAATGCGAAAGGCACGTGCATCTTCTTGCGGAAAGCAGGCTATTGCTTGCTCACTGGCAGCGTGAGTTGCTCGCGCCGTCACCTAATCGTACAGGCGACATCGTGACAGAGAGCAACATGCGAGCGCCTTTTGGTGGTTTAGGAGTCCTTTAAAAGAGTAGTTACATGAATTTCTGAATCTTTTTCTGGTTGTCGCTCTAAAAGAAAACACAGGTGTCGAGAATCCTGAAAAAAAGTGCTGTAGTGCATGGGAATGCATTATAATATAATTTTAGTTCCGCCTATTTAAAATAGCAATCTCAGTTTTGGTATAAAGGGGGTGGCTTTACTGTGACGTGTCGACACGATTCTGATGTCACAGGAAGACAGCAACGAGCGACATACCAGCAACAGCTGTCAGCTCGCTGTCAGTCACACGTGGTTCATGCAGATGACAACAAGTGAATTGTCGTCTAGAGCAGGGTTTGTAGTGGTCCTTGAAACCCTTGAAAATCCTTGAATTTTGAAATGGCATTTCAAGGCCTTGAAAACCCTTAAATATGTTTGAGGTCCTTAAAAGTTCTTGAATTTTTTCAAAGTTCATTCAGCCGTAATCTAGTAGACTTTTTTGCATGTCTGGCAACTATTTGCTTTCTATAGTCAACAAACCGACTAATCCCATCCGTTTTTCTAGCCATATTGCAGTGTTGTATATTCTAGGCACTATAGTTGTAGTACAGTGTACTCCTCTAGTACACTGCAGTTGTGGTGGAGCTTGCGTGGTTACAGCAGCAACAACGGAGCTAAGCTGGGCTTTTTTGTGGAGACTGTGCAATTATGCACTGATATTCGCAGCCGCGTCGCTTATGGTAGAACTATGCTAGGCAAGTGCAAATTCCAGCTGTCTTGGTTATGCATTGCTGCTTATAGGGAGTGTATGGCACCTGATACATCAAACTTGCATCAGGCAGAGTTTTATCACGTGGGAAGAGCTTGGATGTGTCAACAATGGGGAAGTCTGCCCTTAAAAGTCTCATGAAGAGTACGAAACACATTGAGAACACAAAAGCGACTACAGTCGATGACAACTTGAGTGTTCATGTTGCCAACCGTACAAAAGCAAGTACAAATCTTGATGCTGTAAGAAGAGAATGCTGTCATTTTCTGCAGTTTGAAGTGTTATTTTAGGTTCTCGAAAATCCTTGAAAGCCCTTGAATTTCGTTCAACTCAGGTGCTATGAACCCTGCAGAGATCCTGACAGCGGTTTCTGTGATTTAGGCTGCATGCGGGACACAAATTTCGCAAACCCAATGAACTGTGTTACCTTGTGATAATATCTGTTACAGGGGGGCTGGCTTGCTAATGATGACCGATGAAATCTTTAAAATCAAGGTAAAATATTTTATACATGTCTGGCTCTGGTGTGCGGGGAGTGTCGACAGTGTACACTATGGAAACAAAAAATATCGCTTTTCGGGTGCTCCAATATCTTGCCTGAAGTGCTTGCAGTGTATTCACCTTCTGTGTGTCAAAGTTTCAGCGTACTATATTGTAAGAATAATACAAAAGCGTACTGATCAAGTGTGCTGTGACAGACGAGCATGCTTTAATTCTGTCATGAAGGTACCTAGGTGAAGTCATCAACCACAAGGGTGAACGCTGGGAAATTCAGCTGAAAGGGGCCGGGCTGACACCGTACTCAAGGTCTGCTGATGGCAGAAAAGTACTGCGCTCATCACTTCGAGAGTTCTTATGTAGCGAGGTAAGCTCATCAGACTAATGAATATTTTCAGCACTTTTTACACAAACCAGTTCTTCAACCAAGTTTTCAGATGAATTGTTTTCTGGATCCTCCAGTGTGACTTAACGTTTAGGCATTAAATTGTTGAGCAGGAGCTTGCAGGCTTGATTTCAGTTCTTGTTTCCAAATTATTATGTTAGATTGTCAAAACAACTGCATGCTAACAGGTTCAGCTGTATGTTTAAAATTCGTGTTCAGAACTAATTGGTAGACCCTACTGCAGCATCTCTCATTGTTCGTATGTTGGTTTGAGGAACAAACACCATCATTTGATTTCCAGACAAGGCATATGTTCACGGTAATATAGAGGCTTGAAGTGATAAGAAATCATTCAATGGTTTATAGTATTGCTAAAGCCAACGTTGTGACAGAAAGACTTCTCTTGTCAAAAATTTTGCCCTGACAAACACAAATCTTGTCTAAACATTGTATTCTGTGATATTCTCTGTTTAATGATTTGTAAGAATTTGGTTTCATTTTTTTACACTCGGGTGACAACTTTTCTTGACATCACTGTGGAAACTGCAGCACTAAAGCACATGACTGCTATTACGCTAAAAAATTGTGCTTAACATAACTAATATTTTCCCAATTTTCTTTGCATAAATAAATGCCACCTTATTTATTATGAGACTCAAGCTGTTGCCTGAACTCGCAGGTACAATACAGTTATTGTACAATTTGCAAGAATGTCTTGCTTCTCTTTCCAGATTTTGTACAGTGCCATCTTTTTTCAGTACAGCCATTTTCGAAAGTAAACATGGCCTCCGTGATGAAGGGGGTCAGTGTACGGCTGGAAATGCACTGTTTAGTTCTCCGAGAAAAATATGCTTCTGATATGACACTAAAGTGTACACTGAACCCTTGACATGTTTCTCCCGCTTAAGTTACCGCATACATAAGTTTCTAAATGTGCCACTGATGGGAGTGAGTGAAGCCGAAATCATCCGCAAGCTTCTGGACCACTTGCAAACATGAATGTGCAGAAGCCCTGTCTTCGCTCAAATGTCAAAATGAGCTGTCGTTGAGTGTACATTCATGGTTTCTCCTTAGATAGTGCTTCTAAAGTAGTCTTCTCCACAGGGGTGATGAAGGCACAGAATGCTTCAAGTCTTCAGTGGTAAATTCACATGTATGTTTTTCACCGAGCAGCACTGATGCCTGGCTCAGCTTGATATCATACCTGTACTTTGAGTAGGTGCCTAGTAAGGAATACAGAAACTAAATTCGTTCCTGAATTTTTGAAAGCTTTCTGAAACATTCCGTCTTAGTAGAGTGCCACCGTCAACATGGTGGGTGTCATTGGACGACGAAACTTGTAGTGCACAAAATAAACGAACAAAGCGAGAGATGATGAGACAATTCGCTTACTTTCAGCTGAATGTTTATTAACTAGAAGTAAAACATATACGTTCTTCAGTGCGCATAGGTAGCCATATCTGGGCCAACGAAGTGAAGCATGTGAAGCGATATATATGGGGCAGACGCACGTTGATTATAGAGAGTGTGATGCTACACATTTACACATGTGGAACTATGCCAATGCATTTTGTTTAAGAATACAAACTCTTTTTTCGTTAGGTCAGTGTAACTCTAATAGCATTAGAATTCATACCAGCAACTGAGCATTTGCAATACTGGACCCGTTCGTGTATTTATTGTACTTATTGTATTTATATGTCGTGATGGTGGCACAGTGTTTGTTTTGTCAACTGTCCGTGACTTCATGTTAAAATAATAATAAAACAATTATTTAACTGCCATGAGGACATTTTTTTTTTTTTTTTGCATTTCGAAATAAAATATCAGTCTTGTGAACATTTGGAGCGAGTTGAATTGTACCCAATATACCCTTTTCATTTGGCCAACCCACTTTTTTTTTCTTTTGCTAGTCTGTAAGATATGAAAAGTTCCAAAAATGTGAAGCTTTGTGTGTATAGTCTTATGATACTCTTTAATAAAACAACACATTGAAGTGAAGTTCACCTGTTAGAATGGTTAAGGTGGATAGAAATTATAGTTATATATTTTCCTGAAAAATGGTAGCAATCCATTTAAAAAACTTGGATTAAGAATTGGATAGGCTTCAGCGCAATTTAGACGAAGACCATAGGAGACACACAGAACACAGACGAGCGCTGAAGCCTATCCAATTATGTGCCAAAAAGTCAAAGTACTTTTGAATGAAGAAACAATTTTTTTCATCCAGACTTTAATTTTGTCAATTAAGTTGTCAAATGCAGATGCTCTTAAAGATTTTTTCAGAATTTCGCTGTCAGGTTTTGCTGTGGAGCTGTGTAGTTGTATACACGGTTGTGTGTAGCTGCGTATGGTTATACGCATTGATAAAGTTGATTAAGTCCTGTCAGTGATAAGCTAGAGGTCATAAGTGACATTTTTTTTTTTTTCAAATCTGGCTTCCTAGGCTATGCACTATCTTGGCGTACCCACCACAAGGGCTGGAACGTGCGTCACGTCCTCAACTACTGTGTCACGCGACATGTTTTACGACGGGCATCCGAAAAACGAGAAATGCTCAGTCATACTACGAATCGCCCCGACTTTCCTAAGGTTTGTGTTTCTTATCTATGCAGTTTCAGTGCATTTGGCCATCTATTTGGCATGATTCTAAAAAATAGCCAACTGACCCAGGCTGTGATTTTTCTGAGATTTGGGCCTTCTTTAAAGTCTGCTTCGCGTATGTACTGAGTTCACTACAAAATATTGTCCTGTAATGTAGCAGTGAATAAGCTTCATACTTTTAAGCAACATTCATGCATTCTGGCAGTGGGAAACAGGGCACATATGTAAGTCAGTATGCACACTGACAAGCTTCAAATAAGAGTTCTGAGACTTCAGAGTTTACTGTTAGAATAGTGTTTTTTATATAGTTTTTTTAATGCAAGAATACTCTTATAATAAGATTCGATAAGTAATCTGTTAGGGTAAACCTTGTTGCTCTGATGTCAAAGAAATGAGCACTAAGAAACGGGGACATAAACAAGTGCTCTCCGGAGTGTCCTTTCTTTGTGCCTTTCGCTTTTGTCCCCATTTCTTAGCGCTTGTTTGTTTTGCATCAAGTATGAACCAACTTGCCCAAACACGTCTTGTTAAGCCTTACTTCTTCTGCCTTGATCCTGTAAAGTTGACACTTGGAGGCTTGCATATGTTTTCTGAATGTCTCTGCCATCTCATAGATTTTGTGGTAGGGTAGGCAGAGAAATAGATCAGTCTTGCTGAATTTCCGGAATGATGAAAATGCCACCGATTGTTGTGTGGTGAATATTTTTGCTGATTTTTCTGCACTAGGGAAGTTCAGATGGGAAGCTTGCAATGAAATGTACTCAAATAACATGAAAATGTGGGTTGTATACCAGAAGCAAGTGTGTAAAATTACAAATATCTGTAAATTTTTAGTTCTGTGATTACAAAGGATAATTTTTCCCCCTATAATATCAGGTGGAAATTCACTTAAATTGAAAGTTTTGAAACTAAGACCATCATTTGTGGCCTACATTTAGTTATGCATAATAACTTGTGCATCTGAACTACAGAGATGCAGACGGCATATTCAGAGTTTCTTTTTAGTAGTCCTTGAGCTCTGTAAATCCTAACCTTTGGGAGCTTTTCCTATCCTACATCATGTCCATCATCCACTCTATACATGTCTGATACTGGGCTGTCATACTTAGTGGAAAATCTCTACCGTGTCAAAATTTTGTGAGGCCAATATAATGCCTCCCATTTCCCATCATACCACTGAGCATGTTGCTTAAGCCAGCTTGTCCCAATGGCATTCAAGCCCTAAAAACAGACAGATCGTTTCATTTGCTTTTTATCAGATTTGGGTCCTTTGAAATATTCAAGACTTTGGACAGCTCCACGGGAAGAGTGGGGCCTAGTGTTGGCCGCAAGGATATCCTGCTTCAGCTCCTCAATTATGCCATCGAGACATTCTTTCCGGAGGCAAGTGGAATAGCATCTATACTAGACAATGCTGTTGCAAAATTTAAATCTATCCATGGCATGTGCTGCCTGTGTCAGTGATCTCATCTCTTCTTTCTTCTAACAGGTTCATCACAGTTGTGGTGATGACAGGGAGCAAATGTATGTAGAATTTTTCAAAGATGTTGTCAAGAAGACGGCACACCTCGTTGCAAAGTGGCAGTGTGTAGGGTTCTGCCATGGGTAGGTTTCGCTCCTGAGCACCCTTTTAGTACTGTGTAGCTTCACGCTCTTTCGAAGATCGCACCATGACAAAAAATTACACTTCTCTTTTCAGGGTGCTAAACACTGACAACATGAGTATACTTGGACTTACTATTGACTATGGCCCTTTCGGGTTTATGGAACGGTTCGACCCCGACCACATTTGCAACACCTCAGGTGCTGCTATTCACTTCATCTCAACTTGTCTAATGTGTATCGTTACTTGAAGCTGCATTTGTGCTTTTATTTAACGAACCTTAGCCAAGTGAAGCTTCCTAATGAAATCAACAGATCTTTGCATTTTCCCAGACTGAGTTTGTGTATGAAACAATGTGGTACTAGTTTCTATTTTTGCAATGTTGACGTCCTTCAAGAGACATCTAGTTTGTAATCAGCTACTGTATTCAGTGATTATTGAAGCCAGTAGTCTTCAGAGTGTGGGTACTTGTTTGGCCCATTTGTGCAAGCACATGTAATGGAGTTTTACTGAATGACCGGTGACGCTATCACTCGTGACACTAGGCAACAGTAACGAATTATTAGACTCATCACTGCAGCAGTGGCTGTATGACTGCTACCATTTTGACGCATTCATGATGAGTTGTTTTTTCTTGAACCCACTGCATCAGTGCACAGGCGACCTTTCTTATGCAACACATACACGGTGTATTGAGATGTGGCATCATAGTCTAAAGCAACAACTTGAGTTACAAAGGATATCTGGCCGCACCAAGGCCACACCCAAACTCGAAATGAAACGTATTTCAAATTTTCTACTTGTATTCGAATTCATGCTGATTGTGCATGTTCTTATAGACGACGGAGGACGGTACACATACATCAAACAGCCTGAAATATGCTTGTGGAACTTGAGGAAGTTTGCGGAAGCCATACAGTCTGCTGTTCCACTCTCAAAGACTTTGCCGTGCCTGGATTTGTACGCTTCAGAGTATGAAACGTGCTTTCTAGGGGGAATGAGGAGGAAACTTGGCATACTCAAGAAGGAACTCGTCGAGGACAAGTGAGTTACAAGCATGCACAAGTTTCAAGCGTGTACACTTGTGTCTTGATGCTGTGGCATTTTGCTATGTGCTTTTCCACCGGGCCTGTGCATAGCCAAACAACTTGAGAAATGTTTTCTTGGTGATGGTGGTGTTGCATTGATGCTGTCAAGTACCACTGGGTAGTTCATGGGCCCTGATGACACCTTAATTATATATGAACACCAGTGCCATCTTTTTAATGAAAGTTCCTTAAGCCCACCTAAACGTTCTTTGCCAGCCTGAAGGATACTCTAGCATTTTACAGACAGTCTACTTTTCTCTTGCGTCTCACTTTGCCTGGTATTAAATTTGACTCCGTTGACACAACTAAAATGACATTTAGATACTGAGAAATATTAGTGCAAGAAAGACGTTGTAGTGGAAGAACAGGTGTAGAGGAAGAACAGGCGGTACTAAAAAATTTGGACGGACAAAAACCATAGTAAAAATGGATCCCTAAGGGAACATCGTGTTGACTCATTGAAATGTTACAAAACAAGGAGGCTTTTGGTAAAAATTTATTATATTTGCAAAACTTAGTGAGTCAATTTTTCTGAAAGCTTTTTTCTGGTCACAAGCTCTTATTCATGGACCAATTTGCTGGCTTTTTGTCCTTTTTACACCACACCCTTCCAGTAAAGGCACATGAACACTAAAGAAAAGTTTTTCAATGAAAGCTACAAAAGGATTGTTACACTTCATGCTTTTGCGTAGGCCTATCAAGTGGTATGCACTTTTGCGGTAATGGGGTAGGGGAAAAACACTTGAAGCAAAAAAAAAAAAAGGGGGGTTTGAAGAAAGCCTATTTACGTAGTCTCGCAAATCGTCAACTCCCTGTGCATGGCGATTGATGCACAATAATTTACAGGGACCTCGTCACATCTTTCTACGACACCCTGGAAAGGACGGGTGCCGATTTCACGAGGTCATTCAGATGCCTGAGCACGCTCGCAGTTCCTGGACACCCCGACCATGAGCCTAGCAAGGAGAGTCTTCTGTCCCAACTCCTGTCGTGCTCCAGCAGTCACGCTGAACTCAGTGACCACTTGAAGGCTCAAGCTGGCTCTCGGTGAGTAGTTTACAACCCTCAACATGCCAAGATTGGCTGTTGGACTCGTCTACCACAATAATTCACCACTTGCGGTGGCACTATTCCATTAAACTTTTTTTTCTCAGTCTGGCTTATTTGTAACATCCTAAAGCTGAAGAAACTGCATTGCATGCTGAATTTCTTACTTGCTTTAGAACCAGCATTCTTCATTGCCATGTTTTTTCAAACGTGGCTCTAGATCACACCAGCAGTTTGGTAGTTAATAATGGTTTCTACTAAATCGCAGAATTTAATCGTCCATATTTTATCCGAAGCAACTGCGTGGGTACTATCAATACTTCACACGCCAGTGTGATATGTATTTTTTTGCCTTTATGTTGCCCAAAATAATGTATTGTTTTTATAAATTTTCTCTAAATATGATTTTCTTCTTGGCAGAAATCGTATTTTTTTTTTCTACGAACTTTATATGTATTGTACTTATGCTTGTACTGGTACAGGTTTTCACTCACCCACATGTGCTCATCTGGCCCCCATAAGACCTTCAGATGCCATACAGCTGACACTTTGATTGTGTTTGCCTCTTACAGAGATTTCCAGTTGTTTCTTATACTCTCCAGAAACAATCCAGAATTGCTCGAGCAACTGGGCAAAGGTGCCCTTGCAAAAGAACGAATTATGGCTCAGATAGAAAAGACTAAAGAACTCAAGGTGAGAACTTCAAGGCACATCAAGGCACATGTAAAAAGCTATGAAAAAAAAGGTGATGGGCATGTTAGGCAAACTTATTTAATCAAATTCACTATAATCAAAACATAACACACATAAACCTAAATAAAATCTATATAGATAAATTAGCAAGTCATCAGATACAAAGCAGTAAAGGCAAAATTCATAATTTTTTTCCAGCATGAACATGTCTCTATGATGAGTATTAAATGTAATCACGATGATTTATATTTGAAGCGATGAGAAATCATTGAAGAGCAGAGGCATTCAGGATTCAGTATGTCAACAGGGACGCTTGTTTAGTCAGGACATCAGGTTCTGGCTTAGACAGATCTTTTTACAGGTGTTGGCTTTGACAGCATTTCATATTCAATGAATTGAAGTCACTTCATGCCTGCATATTTCCCTAAACTTCTGTGTTATTGTTAAGAATACATTATGCTTGTAATTGAGTTATAAGGAGTGCTCTATGTGCTGTCACCCGTATAGTTCTTTATAGATACACTAGACAAAACTCTAGCGCTAGTGTCTGTGGGAACTGCTATGCATGGCACTTCAGCGAGCATGGGAATGATGGGTAGTACACGAATTTGTCTAATTTTCATACCTTTGGCTTTGTTTGGTTTTGCGTGGCTTAGAGATGCTTTGTCAAGATACAACAGTCAGCAAATGTTCAGCAGTTGCACTTGATCACCTTGACCTTTTTAAACTCACCAATTCAAATCAAGTCAAGAAGCTCTCAATAGTCCATCCTTTTGTTCGAAACAAAACCAAAACACAATAATAAACAAAGCTGCAAGTGTGTTTATAACCTGCCAGCATAAAGACTAGGTAAATTTGTGTACCACCCATCATTTTCATGGTCACTGAACGATCGCAGTGCCACAGTCCCGTTTAGTTGGTTTTAGAAAACTCTATGCCGTCACTCATTTAAGCACTGAAATCGCACTTTGGAAACTGCATAGGTATCTGCTCTAGCTCACATTAGTTCACGGATTCTCTCCCAGTATCTCCACATGTGTGTGCTTCCACAGTGTGTAGCCATTTGCTGCGAGCCATCGTTTTCTGTTTCTACAGGAAATGAGTGCAGAAGACTTTGAGGCCCGGAAGAAAAAGATGTGGGCAGATTGGATTGAAGCATACTGTAAGAGGCTGATGGCAGATGTGGAAGGAGTGAAAGACCTGCAAGACTTGCAGCAAGATAGAGTTGACGTCATGAACAGCAATAATCCAAGGTATAGTTTCAAATGTGGTTCAATAAAACTTGTAGCTGGGCGAGTTGGTTCATAAGCACTTGTCCCTGTCTCTTCTCTGCGGTCGTTTGTCTGTTTTTTTGTGCGCACACCAGTTTACCCAGTATAGTTTCAAAAATCAAAGCAGAATTTTCGATGCTTTCATCACTAAATCAATGGTGACTTGAAAGCTGTTTTGAAGAACGTCCTCCAGTGCTTCCTTCGTGTCTGCTTTTCTTTGTCCCGTTTAAATGACTCCTGCATTTCCTCAACATTCTTTTACACATTTCAGATCAACATGTGCATTGTGTGTGGCATACAGTAATGGTAATCTTAAAGCAAAATTATGCTCCTTCCTGGTCTTACCGATATCCTCGTCACGATGGCAACTGGTTGCAGCTCACAAATGCATAGCCTGCTTTGTTTTTTTTTGTATGTATATATATATGTATGTATTTGTGATTAGAGGCATATGTAAGTGAGCATGTATTGCTGGTAACCAAGCTATGGGGACTGCAACACTTCTTAATTATTCAAGAGGGAACCAGGCATTCTTTCCACAAAGCACAAGGACTCTCTCTTTCCTTCGGGTGTCATCTCACTCTTGCGCACGCTCTTCCTTTTTTTGTTATATGAAACTGTACTAACTCGCCCCCTTATTTTCTTTGTTAGAGGGGTACTGACACAAAAGTTTGCGGCCGAGACAGCCTGCAGGGTAGATTCCCGTGTACATTCATATATAATCTGCAAAATATCAACGGAGAATATAGCTGGGAAGGTTTTATAATTCAATTTTGAAGTTTGCGTGAGTGCTCGATTCCATTGTGCCATTGACGCCCTCAAAGGGGACCCTTTGGGGACCCCTTACTTCTCTCACGTCACCAGGCTGCAGTCAATAAAACAAGTTATGATGACGTCATAGCCACTATTTTTCTTTTGCCACGTCTATTCTAGCAATCTATACTTCTCTGTGACCGGTCAGGAGTGCGTGGTCATAGCGCATGCTTTGAAGGTTTTTGTTTGGTGAAATTGCAGTCCCGTTTCCTGTTCGTAAGTAATTATTGATGTGGACCATGCTAAAGGCACACACATACTGCTTTTATTGCTCTCAAAAATTAACTACCAGTATTCCCAAATTGCCACATTGGTTAAGAACATCGAAGTGTACTATGTCATTGTACTGTCTTGGCCTTTAAACTGTTCCTTTCGTTGAACTTTTTTTTTGCGTTTAATTTCAAATGCAAATTTATGGGATCCTGTAAGACATGTTTTTGCATTATACATCATCGTCATCATCATCATCATCGTCAGCCTGACTACGTCCACTGCAGGACAAAGGCCTCTCTCATGTTGCGCTAGTCAACTCGGTCCTGTGCTTGCTGCTGCCAATTTATACCCGCAAACTTCTTAATCTCATCTGCCCACCTAACCCTCTGTCTCCCCCTAACCCGCTTGCCTTCTCTAGGAATCCAGTTAGTTACCCTTAATGACCAGCGGTTATCCTGTCTACGCACTACGTGCCCGGCCCGTGTCCATTTCCTCTTCTTGATTTCAACTATGATATCCTTGACCCCGTTTGTTCCCTAATCCACTCTGCTCTCTTCTTGTCTTTTAAGGTTACACCTACCATTTTTCTTTCCATTGCTCGCTGCGTCGTCCTAAATTTAAGCTGAACCCTCTTTGTAAGTCTCCAGGTTTCTCCTATATAGCTAAGTACCGGCAGGATACAGCTGTTATATACCTTCCTCTTGAGGGATAGTATTAATCTACCTGTCATGATATGAGAGTGCTTGCCAAATGTGCTCCACCCCATTCTTATTCTTCTAGTTACTTCAATCTCGTGGTTCGGCTCTGCGGTTATTACCTGCCCTAAGTAGACATAGTCTTTTACAACTTCAAGTGCACTATTACCCATCTTGAAGCGCTGCTCTCTTCCGAGGTTGTTGTACATGTTGGCATTATACAGAGCATCCCAATCATTATGCAGTGCGATTTATAGAAGAGGAACGGCATTACATGATGCAAAGCTGGTACTTATTGTTCCCAGTGTACTATAGTAGCCGCTACCAACTATTGATGAATGGCAACTAATTAACTAGTAATAATATTATATGTAACAAAAAAGTACTCTCTTAATGTGCTACTTTCAACAACGTACTAATTGTGTGCTCATTTTTTTCTGTTAATAAAAAAGCCTGAAAAGTACAAAAAATAACACGACTGGACTACCGCGTGCATCAGAAAGAAGCGCCCTCAAACAAGCTTACTTTGTGATGACCAGTAGCAATGAAGAAAATATAGAAGGAAGAAAATACTATTTGCGCTCTCTGCCACTTCCCGTTCGAAGAAACGCACCGCCTTGATTTTAGACAGTCGGAACAGCAGTCTGGCCATATTATCAATGAGAACACTTGATTGTGAGCTATGAATGGTGATAGAAACCACAACCAAGGGGAAGGAGTTGTTGCGACACATGTTGTTTGCACCCAACCTGTACCCTTGCCAATGTGCAAAATGCTGTCTCTGGCAACAGAAAATAGGCAAAGCGGTTCCTTCTAGTAAGATTATTTGAAGGCCCCACTGCCTTTTGCAGATGGGTGCGCAGTCAGTCGTTATTTCTCATAATTTGTGGGCATTCTTTACTAAGAGAAAAAAAAGAGTGCAATTAGTATGTTGTTAAAAGTATCATAGACAGGTGTCTTTTCAACATGCACGCATCTTCCTCATTGACATTTAGATAAATAGACAAGTTGTGATGACGTTTATTGAACTGGAGAAGTCGCAACGCTGTCGCAAGCAACCCAGGTTCTCGTGCAATCAGAGAACGGGGTTTTTCGTTCTCTTTGGAAGGCGCATACGCGTTAGTGCGTATGCTCCACTACAATACCCCCGGGGTGAAGAGTAGCCATCCTGGCGACTCTGCGAGTAGGCACAATGAGGGGGTCGTAGTAGGGCTTGAGACGGTCGACGTGTACGGTCTTGCGTCCTCGACGGCGCAAATCTGGCGATTGTGTTAGGGGCTCGATGATGTAATTCACCGGCGAGGTTGCGTCAATGACACGGTATGGACTATGGTACCGGGCCACAAGTTTAGAAGACAGGCCAGGAACGTGCGGGGTACCCAAAGCCACACGAGGGAGCCAGTACGAAACGTAGGCGCTATGTGATGAGCGTCATCATGTCGCCTTTTTTGTAGACCTTGAGCCTCACTTGTCGTAGACCGAGCCAACTGACGGCAGTCTTCAGCGTATCTGGGGACTTCCGAAAGCAGGGACTTCCGATGCATCAGGGCGGTACGGGAGTATGGTGTCGAGTGGGTGGGATGGTTCGCGGCCGTACAACAGAAAGAACGGAAACCGGTAGTCGCTTGCGTCGCGTTGTTGTAAGCGAAGGTAACAAAAGGTAAGACAGCGTCCCAGTTAGTGTGGTTGGAGGAGGTGTACATCCTCAGCATGTCGCCAAGTGTGCGGTTAAACCGTTCAGTGAGACCATTCTTCTGTGGATGGTATGCGGTAGATTTCCGGTGGATGATGTTGCATTCAGCGAGAATAGCTTGGATGACCTCCGGCAGGAACACTGGACCCCTATCACTGAGTAATTCTCGTGGAGCCCCATGGCGTAGAATGAAGCTGCGCAGAATGAAGAGTGCAACTTCGTGGGCGGTCGCTGCCGGTAAAGCTGCAGTCTCAGCGTAGCGTGTCAGATGATTGACGCCGACAAGAACCCACCGGTTTCCAGAGCGACTATATGGGTGGGGGCCATAGAGATCGATACCCACGCAGTCGAATGGGTGAGCCGGGCATGGGAGCGGCTGTAACATGCCAGTAAGGTGCCGCGGAGATGTCTTGTTCTATTGGCAAGTGGTGCAAGACTGAACGTATTTCTGCACAAAGCGATACATTTCTCGCCAGTAATATTGTTGGCGCAGCCTTTCGTAGATTTTCAGGCCACCTGCGTGAGCACTTTGGGGGTCTGCATGGAAATTCATGCAGATGTCGGAGCGCATATGAGTTGGGACAGCAAGGAGCCACTTCCGACCATCAGGCATGTAGTTGCGGCGGTACAGAATGCTGTCTCGCACGGAAAAGTGGGCTGCTTGTCGGCGTAGCGCTCTCATGGAAGGGACAGCAGACAGATCGGTAAGGTAGTCGAGTAACAATGCAAGGTATGGATCTTTACGCTGCTCCGAAAGCATGTCAGTGGTGTTTATTGGTGACAAGGTGGTAAAAAGTGGTGACAGAGAAGCCACATCCGGCGTCAATGGCGATCACGAAAGTGCATCGGCATCCGCATGCTTGCGACCGGAACAATATACTACACGGATGTCGTATTCTTGCAATCGAAGTGCCCAACGTCCCAGGCGTCCGGACGGGTCTTTCAATGTGGACAGCCAACATAGAGCGTGGTGGTCTGTGACCACGTCGAAAGGGCGGCCGTAAAGGTACGGGCGAAACTTCGTCAAGGCCCAGATTATGGCCAAACACTCCTTCCCTGTCACGGAGTAATTCAATTCAGCCTTCTTGAGAGCGCGACTTGCATAGGCGACTACGTATTCGGCTTGGGTGCCTTTTCGTTGTGCCAAAATTGCACCAAGACCGATGCCACTTGCATCAGTGTCAATTTCTGTGGCAGCAGCGGAATCGTAGTGACGAAGAATAGGTGGTGAGGTCAGCAGGCGGTGCAGCTGGCGAAATGCAGGTGACCATGCAGATATACCTTTGCTGTTGGAAAGCAGACTCGTGAGAGGTGCGATGATGGACGCGAAGTTGCGCACGAAGCGACGAAAGTAGAAGCAGAGACCGACGAAACTTCTTAGGGCTTTCAGTGATGTGGGCAACGGGAAATCAGCGACAGCTCGAAGCTTATCGAGATCCGGAAGAACATCGTCTCTTGTGATGACATGTCCCAAGATGGTTAGTTTTCGTGCTGCGAAGTGGTACTTCTTGGAGTTAAGTTGTAGGCCTGCAGAAGTAAGACACACCAGAATCTCATGGAGGCGAACAAGATGTGTCGGGAAATCAGGTGAAAAGACTACGATGTCGTCCAGGTAACACAAGCAAGTTTTCAACTTATGGGCACGCATGATGGTATCGATCATGCACTCAAATGTGGCAGGTGCGTTGCAGAGCCCAAATGGCATCACTTTGAGCTCATATAGGCCATCTGGCATTACAAAGGCTGTTTTAGGGCAATCATATTCAGCCATTGGCACCTGCCAATACCCAGAACGCAGATCCAAGGATGTAAAGTACTCGGCGCCTTGTAAACAGTCAAGAGCATCGTCTATTCGTGGTAGCGGGTAGACATCTTTCTTCGTAATCTTGTTGAAGCGGCGATAGTCCACACAAAATCGAACGTCGCCATCTTTTTTCTTTACCAGAACTACAGGTGATGACCAAGCGCTTTGAGAAGGCTGTATGACTCCACGTTTCAGCATGTCATCTACTTGCTTCGTAATGACGCGGCGCTCTTCGGCGGAAACGCGGTAAGGATGCTGTCGCAGAGGCGAATGTGAGCCGGTGTCAATAGTATGAGTGATAGTCGTAGTGCAGCCCAAAGCAGGTTCTTGAAAGTCGAAAGAAGAGCGAAACTTGTTAAGGAGAGCAACAAGTTGGCGGCGATGCGAGAGGGGAAGGTTTGCGTCAATAGCATTGTCGAAGGCTGACAAACTTGATGGCTCAGACGCATGAGTTACTGCGGCAATATGACATGGCATTTCGTCGGGAAGAATAATATCATCGATATGGTTGACAGGTTGCACATATCCCAACGTTTCACCACGAAGTAAGCCAAAGGGGTAGTTGCAGTGATTGGTAACCAGCGTTACGGTTAAACCAGACACAATTGTACGAACGGCAAATGGGAGAACGATGCCCTTGCGTTCAGTAAAAACCGGACATGGCATAAACACTACCGTGGCGTCAGGTTGCGCCACACATGAAAGGCTTATAGGGACCAAAGCTTCCGGAGGCAAGGTGATGTCGTCGTCAGCGATGAGTTTGCAGAGCCAAGGAGACCGATCGGGTGGTGGAAATTCATATGTTGGCACAAGGGACACTTCGGCACGAGAACAATCGATGATAGGTTCATGACGTGATAAGAAATCCCAACCGAGGATAAAGTCATGAGAGCAAGATGGCAGACCAAAAAACTGTACAATGTACAAAACGTCTTGGATGACGACGCGCGCCGTACACACAGCCGAGGGATGAATGCGTTGCGTGCTAGCCGTGGACAGCACCATGCCACAGAGAGGTGTGGTCACTTTCTTCAGTTTCCGACAAAATTTGCAGTTCATCACAGAAACGGCGGCCCCGGTATCAATTAACGCTAATATGGCGACTCCCTCAACATCGACATCAACAATATTTTGCGGCGAAAATGGAAGCCTTGGGAATTGCACACAAGTTGCAGTTCTTGCCTCCGGAACTGCACTGATTAGTTTCCCTCCTCAGGAGGTGATCGACGACGCATAGGCGATGGCGATCGGCGACGAGGGGATGGGAAACTAGCAGTCGATGGGCGGCGATCCGAGTCTGAGTGCCTCTGTTCATATGCAGACGCGGTGGCCTGCTGCGGCACGTAGGTAGGAGTTACGAAGTAATCGTTTGCAGATGTGGGGCGACGGCGGCAGAAGCGTGCAATGTGGCCAGCGATGCCATAGGCGAAGCAGATAGGACGATTGTCTTGGGTGCGCCACTCATTAGATCGACGGAAAAAGCGAGGTGAGGGCCTGTAAACTGGAGGCAAGGCCGGAGGAGGTGGAGCCGATAAGGCGACTGGATGCGGTGGGGGCCGCGCGATCGCAGCTGCGTAGCTGAGAGGTGAAGGTGGTGCAGGTGTGCATAGCCGACAGCTGAGAGATTAGGTGCTACTAAAGTGCATGGGTAAGGGGCCTGCGCTGTAGGGAGGACATCGGAAATTTCAGTGCGTATGGCCTGCTGCAGTGTCGAAGGCAGGCTTGCGGTGGGCACGTCGCTATGCGGCAGCAGGGAGAGCTGTTGGGCGACTTCCTCCCTGATAAAGTCTTTGATCTGGTTGGACAGACTTTCTTGGCGAACGTTGGCATTTGTGAGTGCGACGGCCGAGATCGAATACGGCGGTGGGACACTCTGTCGAGCGATGGAATGCTGACGGCGCAATTCATCAAAGCTCTGGCGGAGGCTTACGAGGATTGCCACCGTGGTCGGGCTTTTCCCTAGCAACATCTGGAATGCGCCATCCTCGATGCCCTTGAGAATCTGCCGAATTTTCTCTGCTTCGGGCATAGATGGATTCACACGCCTGCAGAGGTCGAGCACGTCCTCTATGTGACTAGTAAACGCCTCGCCAGGCTGCTGGGCTCGGTGGCGCAGGCGCTGGTCAGCGCGGAGCTTGCGCACCTCTGGTCGGCCAAACGCCTCAGTCACGAGTGTCTTAAAGGAGGACAAGTTGGCGATGGCGGTTTCGCGGTTGGTAAACCAAAGCTTAGTTATGTCTGCCAAGTAAAAGATAACATAGGCGAGCTTAGAGTCGCCCCACTTGTTGCTGTCGCTTAGGCGTTCGTACAAGGAGAGCCAGTCTTCGACGTCCTGCTCACCACTGCCGCTGAAGATTGGTGGGTCCCATTGGTGAGTAGCGCCGGGGCAGGTAGACGGGACAGCCGGTGGTGCTGGCTGGGCTGGGATGGGCTGGTTGGCGACTGCATCAGTCATGTTTCGCGGTGGTCTCTCGGGCAACTTGCGAGAGCGGAGCTCCAGGTCTGCTTGGGAATCTCAGCAGCCTCCACCAAATGTGATGATGTTTATTGAACCGGAGAAGTCGCAACGATGTCGCAACGAAAAACGGCCGTACGACAAGTCTGGCAAAAGCGGCCCAGGTTCTCGTGCAATCAGAGCACGGGGTTTTTCGTTCTCTTTGAAAAGTGCATACGCGTTAGTGCGTATGCTCCACTACAAAGTATTTTTTAGCTACAAACATAATTATGACTAATTAATCATTTGTCATTAACAACGAATTCGTAGTTATCACTACATTATAATGGAAACAATATGCACGAAATTTGGTTCAAGTAATGCCATTCCTACATTTTTAAATTATGCTGCATCACGATTGGAATGCCCTGTGTAATGACTAATGATCTCATGCTGCTGTTGCTATGTTGCCAAATGGTGTAAAAGCCTTCGCCAAGCCTTAATGGCTTTTCACTTTCGTCTCACAGCACCACTGTTGGTACCCTTTGCATCTCTTGTGATGTCGAAATAAATTGTATTGAATAATTAAGTGTACAGGCTGTCAATAAATCTCAGTAGCTTGAGAACTCTTTGCCCAACGATGAACCAAGGCAACTTCACTTACAGTTTAGTAGCCATGTAGCTTGCGTTGGCAAATTTTAATCACGCCTAAATGTTACCGGATGTGAGAGCTAATGTTAACATGGAGGTTCTGAGACGAATGCAAATACAGCATCGTTCTCTCTCACTGTGCGCATCTTGTAGGTTTGTCCTCAGGAACTACATAGCACAACAAGCTATTGATGCAGCGGAGAAAGGAGACTACAGCGAGGCTCGAAAAGTGTTGAAGATTTTGCAGCACCCATTCTCCGATGATCCTTTGGAGCTGAAAGGTGAGCTTTACATTGCCAAAGGTATGGCGGGCAGGGCTACTTGCATATGAAAAGAATATGGCCTCGTGCCTAATTAGAAAACATGATAGGGTAAAAATTTCCATCCACTTGTTTGTAGCAGGGAAGTGTCAACGAAACCCATATTAGTTTCTCTCTCTCAAACATAAAATAAAAAAAACTTCACACTCAAAGCACAAATATCACCAAATCTGGGATTTTTCTTTGATTATTGTTCAACATTGAACCTTTTCTTTTTTTTTGAAAGACCCATTTGGGTGTCTGTAGCTTCCTGCCATGAATGAATGGATGACAGATTTTCCATGCTATAAAAATTTACATCACAAGATTTTGCAGAGCTGCTTTGCCATAACAACAGAGGGACATAGTTTTCATCCTTCAAGTCTTGAAAGTGCATTGTATGAGCCAAAAAGCAGAATGCTAGCAGTGCAATCAAACCCCTATAACGATATTGTCGGGGAAGCGATTTTGTTCGTTCTCATGAGAATGTCGTTGACAGAATAGTGCAAAAATATGCACGTTAGTACTTCTTCTGCACTACAAAATGTGTTTAAAAGAGTCGCTTATTTTGCTCTTCCTCATATGCTCTCATGTGGCGGCAAGTAGTGAGGCAATCTGTTGTCGTGATGTCTCTTTTGCGGGTGTAATCACTTGAAACGTCATGTTCTATTGTAGCTTACCGCAGAGGTGTCAGCAAAAAACTGTTGTGAGCAAAAAAAGAAAGGCCTTGTGGCTATCATCGTCATCCGAGATAACGTAAACAGCAGTGGTCACACCGACGCTTGTTGATGGAGACATGTGTGACCAACTTGTGTAATAAGTGGTGCTGCAATTTAATAAGAACTTCCAGGTCCCGACTTGCTCAAGGGTGAAAAAAAGATGTTGCCAATTACTACCTTAAACTTTTGTTATTGCAGAAGTGCTTTTTAAAATCTTTTCAATGTTGAGAAAGACAAATGCATTGAATTCTATGGGCGTTTGCCAGGGACACCAAATTTTTTTATTTCTGCGAGAATGCGTTATCTTGGGCAGATACAGTTGAGGGGTTCTACAGTATCTCCCATTTGCTGAAAGCCGAACAGAGTTTGCACTGTTCTACTTCAATGCAATAAAATACAATAAACTTCATAATTAACTCTCTTGTGCGTGACTGACTCTAGGCCATTGTTTACTAACATAACGTCAATTCTTATGGGCATTGGTTTGCCTTATTGCCATATTCACTTTTTTTTTTCTGTTTTCATGTTACCCCACCATTGCAATGTAGATGCTGCTTTTCGCACAGTGCAGCCGAATGAATGGGAACTATTGAGATGACCTTACAGCCTTCCAATACGATTACATACACAACGCAAACATTCAGAGATAGTTCTGGAGCTTAACGCTAGCGATAATGCTGGAATCTTCGATGATACACGTATGAAAGCCGACGTGCTTGACCCTGTTTCAGATTATCTATGGCTGACGCCGTGTTTGCTAATATCAGTGTACAGTGTGCATTTCTTGCATAGTTTGAGTTTCTAATTTCCAGCCACAAGTTCGGCCAAATAAAGTTTCACCTTGGACACCCCGACTTCCTTCGTCAGCATCATGACCTTGTAATAATGTTTTCCAATGCAGAATCAATGCTTGCTTACATAATTTTCCTTTCTCTTCAAAGTTCTTTTCTCAAAAATAGTGAGGCAGATCTTGATGTACTAGCCTCTCAATTTAGCCTGAGAGATGCTTGCATGTATAGCATTTTGTATCCCTTCAAAAAAAAAAAAATAGACTGAACATTGTATTCCAGGTATCTCTTTCCTAACTTTACCATGTTACCATTTTCGTACTGCACCATTTTCTTTATATCAGTAGCAAAGAGCCCAACAGTCCACATTCAGTAGTGTATGCCAGTTTAATGTGCTGTGAATCTCTGAAAGGGGCATTGTAACCAAGCTCCCTGTTATCACTGTTTTCGTCGTCGCTTGTGTTCAACATCTTTAGCTCTTAGCATAGCCCTCAGTGGAATTCAATTTGCATTTTTTTATGAAGCTTGCAGAGAGTAAATATTCTTGTCTTGTGTACTGCATTCCATGCTTATTTACTTGGTGAAGAGAGTGAAAAATAATGGATTGGGCAATTACAAAGCACATCACTAATTGAAGCTCTTGATCTTAAGGCTTATTCAGATCAAATGTGATTGCAAATTTGCTTTCACCTGGAAAGAGTCAGACTGTTGAACATAAAAAATGCTAATGAGCTGAATTGCTGTTTGACTCCAGGAAAGCAAGTTTGCCCTGCTGTGTTTGATGAAGGATTCTACGAAGGAAGACATGCATTGAGTGCAGCAGCATTGAGGGTCTCCTGCTCATCTTAACGAATGGTAATTGTCCAGTTCACTCCAAAAAAGTTTGCCCTCTCTATGGGGCTAACTATAATTACAAATGAATGGAAACATGCTAATAGTGAAATATTATTGTGCAGTTCTAATGGGTAACTTTCGTACCATTGAAAAAAAAAAAAGCTTCCAAGTCTCGTGAATGAAAAAAAAAAAGATACGAGTACACCATAGCTTCTATTGCCATGTCCTCGACTTTTATCGGTCACCAATTACCTTTATGAATGTGTTAGTTTCACTTTTTTTGCTTTCTTTTTAAGGCTTTTCGATCGCAGAATTTGGTTTCTTGACTGTGTGTGCGTTCAGGCAAAAAAAAATATTTATGCCAGGACTAACATACACATGAAAGGATAACTTTTCTAGCTGTGCCATTCCTATCTTCATATCATGTTAGTTTTGCTTAACTCTATATGTCAAAGTCTGTGCGATGTTTTATAATTAGTCTGGAGGCACTAGTAGCTTTTAAAGGATGGAGTTTCCATACCTAAGTGGCTTGGGCTTCTGTAATCACTCTCGGGTCTTTATCTTTGTGCTTCTCCATAACCATAAAAAAAATTGTACTTTGGTGCGCTGCCGCACTCCAAACAATGTTCAGACAGGTGTCTATAATTGCTTTTGTTTGTAACGTTTACTTACGCTTGCATAGATGATCGTTAAGGCATCTTCCCGTCTGACCTATATACTTATTCGCACAGGTCAGCAGGAGCTCGTAAACTACCTTTTGTACACAATCCACAACAGGTTCGCGATGGTTCTTAAAACAACTGACAGCAGGCTTCCGGTGCGAGTCTGTTAAGCAGCATAATCCGCCAAGTTTTTTCATTGCTGAAAACACTAATTTGATCTCCACACGACTATGTATTTTTTTTATACTGTGGCCCGTTTTGTGCAGGTAAGGCACTACTGCCACTCTGCTCCCACTTTTTGCCTGTTGAATGGGCACATCCTGAGGACTACTGTCCAAGTGGCACCTCTTTAGCAAACACTCGACAACGTGTCGCTTAACAAGCTCACGCCAGAAGCCAGCATTCGGTTATTCCAAGAACTATCGTGACTCTCTTGTGGATTGTGTACAAAAGGAAGCTTATGAGCTCCCGCTGACATGTGAAAATAAGTGTATAAGTCAGACGGGAGGATGCTTTAAAGATCGATTATGCGAACGTGGGTTAAACGTTAGAAACAAGAATAATTACTGTCACTTGCCTGTTCATTGCTTGGAGTGCGGCTGCACACCAATGTACGGTTCTTGCATGGTTCTGGTGAAGCACAAAGATAAAGACGTGAGAAAGATTATGGAAGCCGAAGCTATTTCTCGCAATAGTAACGCGTGTGTGTGTGCACCATCGATTGACCTCTTGTATAGAAAAACAGCCTTTCTGGTTGGCTGGCATGCGGACTGGTGGCACCACTGTGAACTGATAATGATTCTGTTGTTTCCTGGAAATAAAATTGTTGAAGTTAGTGCATTGTGGTGTCGTCTTTCTTACGTCCTTGTTTACTGCTGCTGAATACGTTTTCGAGTTCTGTGTATCAACACCCCCAAGAAATGGCAGTGTGTATCAAGTTCACCCTGCAAGCGTGATTACAAATTGTAAAAACTACAGTGCAGTTTACAGTGCAGTAGTGCAGTTTTTCATCTGCGACACTTCTCATTGAATAACTTTTGCAGACATATAAGGTCACATCAAATGGCAGTGCACTTCTTGCTTCCAGAACGTGTGGCGTTCAGTGTGTTTCATTTTAGGGTGTGACCAGTGCAGCCATGTTCGCTGTTTGCACAAATGTGTCACTTGGCTCACTCAAAAATGAGCAGGATTCTGATGGGTAATGCCCTTCATGTAAATCATATTTTGTGTTGATGAATGCGAGCCTTGATGTTGTATCAAACTACATTATGAAGGGCTGTGTCACTCTATGTTATGTGCAGCACTACTTTTCGATAAGGAATGCTAACGGCTAAATGTATTTTTTTGCTTTGTAATGTTTCATCCGAAGTTGTAATGGCTGTTCTACCATATTGAACGCAAAAGCTTTGGGTTAACTGTGAATTTTGTTTGACATACCACAACATACTTTTGGCTGCTAGCCCTTTCCATCCTACACAGAGCAACCATTGGAGCGCACACTAGAATGTGCTGTGATGTAATCACTACGCCTGGTGGCTGGTAAGGCTTAAGTAGGGGCATTGTGCAAGATTGCTGCACTGTAGGCATTTTCTACAGATTTTTCCGTTGCTTAGCTGTTAAATGTTTGTGAATGTGTCCCTGCCTTGTGTGACGTAAATCATGCTTTTTATATGTCACCACAGGAATTTTTGAAGAGTATAGAGTCCAACTAATAAATAAATATACTTTTTTCTTTCAGTATTTCCCTTTGAAAAAGCTCCTTACTGGATCAGTTAGGAGAATGAAAAAAGAAAACTGTGATGTCCTCACCCCTATGATCTAAGAATGAGCCATGCAGTGACATCAGTGGCATTTTCTAGTGTTAAGTTGGAAAACATTATCATCACGATGACACAGTTGCACTGGTAGAACATTTCACATGATTGAAAAAGAAATTTTTAACAATTTTTAACCGTCTTTCTGATGGTGCAGTTTTTTTTTTTACAGAAGTAATAATGCACATAGATAAGCTCTCAGTTGTTATATTGCCATCTGCTTTTGGCTAACAAACTTGATTTGCTTATATATAGATTTATAGATGTGGAACTTATTTAATTGAAGAAGCATGTTCATATTTGCTGTGCACTATGTGCAATTCGTTGACCGCTGTGATATTGTGTTTGAATAAAGTCACCAGTGTTACTGATTGCACATCGATCGTCAGCTTCCCATTTCTATTATTTATGGGCAATTAGTTTGTGGACACATGCTGAACACCTGCACGATTTGGCCTCCATATGACCTGTGCTGTAATTTTGCATGCCGAGGTGACACATAGAGTAGGTAATGTTATAGAAAATGTGGCTAATGAAAAAGCCAACAAAAACATAGAATGCAAATTAACATTTACTAGCATCAGTTGGAACCCAGAATGTTAAGAAGGCTCTGAAATCCCAACTGAATGTGAGATCATGCTTGCTGGCACAAAGCTCATCTGATTCTAATACTATAAGCATGAAAAATTCGAGATATGAGGTTTTTACAACATTTTCTTAAGGTCACATCAATGAGTATTGCACAGAGTCCACACATTCACAGTGATAGAAGTGACCTTTCACTTTTCGGAGCCTACTTTGGAGCAGGAAAAGTACTGCTTCGGAGCAGCTTTAAGTGTTTTTTCGGAGCAGAAAAAAATGTTTGTTTAGAGCAGCTATTGGTGTTTAGGGAGCAGATATAAAGTCTGTGATACATTATTTGTAATTCAGAGCATTGTCAAAGCATCTCGTAATCATAAATACTTCTTATGAAATATATTTAATACAACGTAACTCATGTAGCAAACAATGACAGGTTGTCAAAAATGTGCCGTAAAATGAGGTACAATTTAAAATACTGCGATTTGTGGTAGAAATCAAGTCAAACCAAAAAAGTTGAGGGCCACATTTTATAAGTCACCACAGTCGCATATAACTGTTGCCAAAAAAGCAGTAGATAATCGGTATGAGATATAAACAATGCGGCTCATTTTTACATTTCACCACAGTAGCCTGCATGTCTAGCTGTGGGCAGAGTAGTGTTGCCTACGAGTGCTGTCTTGTGGATACTGAAGTGAATTACAAGGAACCTATGTTGAGTGGGGAAATGAGCAATGTGCAGACATCTAGTAAAAGAGGCAGTGGTTATATAAAGTGATCCAACTCTAATAAAGCCATTTGAAGCAAGGAGAAATTAGTTCAAGGGGGGCCTCCAACACTTTTGCAGGACCAATTTTTTTATACGTTGCTTGCATGGACTGGTGGCTGTGGATAATTTAGCATAGGTCTAAGCATTGATATAAAATGATATAGAATTTTAATCACGTAGTGAAGTCACTACATCGCTGCCAACCTCCAGAACTACTGCGGGCACAAATAACGGAGGGTGGGAGCCAGGCAATGACTGGATCAATGTAACCTGCGTGATAAATGATATAAATGTATGACTGGATAAATGTAATTAGAAGCGATTGTGGCGGAGCATCCAGAGTGAGATTACCAGTGTGTTTCATTTTTCTTTTCTGTGCTTTTTCATTAAACCCCAAAAAGATGCCATCACAACAGCAAAAAGATCACTATGACCAAAAAGCACAACAAAGCCACTGGCTACTACTATTTCACTTGTGGATTTAACGCTTTCATTTCTTATTCCTCTTAGCTTCTGTGCATTTGCGAGCTGCCTCTTTCCGCATGCGCGATAGGCTCGCTATTGTTGTTGAAACGGTGCAAGTAATCCCCTTTGTTGAATTGATGTCACTGCACCATTGTAGTTTGTTGGGCAGCTCACCAAACAACTCACGAAGGTTCAACAGTAGTTCCTCACTCTAGTTGTTCCGCCATTTCTCTGCTCATAATGAGGAGAAAGTGACACAGAATGTCTTTGTAAAGAACCGCAGACAATACCTTGCTTCAATCAAAACAGTAGTGCCAGCTCATGTTCTGGCAAGCCAGGTGTTACACACCGAGTTTGTTATGGCAACGTCAACAATTCCTTGGAAAAGATAAGCAACAATGCTGTGCGAGCTTCCTCTGTGTAGGAACATCCAGCTCATTTTATTGCGGGAGCCATTAAATCTTACGGTGCGAGCAAAGTGTGGTCACGTGGCCCCTCAAAAATGAAGTTGAGGGCAAGTATTTTTTTTTCTCGTGTTATAAATTATCTAATTCGAATAGCATCAGACCGTGTGCCGCTATCACTGCCATTCTTCCTGCACTAATCTCTCCACACTGCAGTCCAAGCAATTCCCACGAGTAAAAAATGGGGGGGGGGGGGGGTTGAATAGTGCTGAAGGAGTGCTTTAAGGAGAATCCAAGTGCAGCCTATTATTCTCATGCTGGCCGTACTTGCAGCTCCTGCAGACACACGAGGCAAGAGTTCCTTTTCGTGATGAAAAATTGTTGAACAAGGAATGTCATTGGAGCCTGACATTTCAACAAATGGGCTCGGTGCAACAGCTGCCATCCTTAGCAGAGTGTTTATGTCAGCTTAGCTCACTCTCCATCAACTTAAATAGAGGAGAAGAGGAAGCATGCGCACAAAGAAGGGAAAGAAAAAGGGGAGAGGACTGAAATAAATGAGATAATATTGAGACAGGCTGGCATATCAAATGGAACTGCTCTGTTGTAAGAGAACAAAGGTCAGGAAGAAGGAAAGCAACAGGATAAGAAGGAAAGCGGCAGGATGTACCCAGCTTATAAGCTGTGGGAAGTTATCGCAATGGAACTGAAGACTATGGTGCCAGTGTGCGTTTTAAGAAAATCGTATCACAGGGATGTATTACTGAGCACAAAACAGCGCACCTCCCAGCATCTACAACAACATTGTTTTAAAATTGATGGTTTCATGAAGCATCGTGTAGTCGGGAAGCATGAAGAATAAACAAAATGAAAGAGGCACCGACCAAAATTAAATGGTTTAAAACACATTTTAAACCTTTTCGATTTGGTTGCCCTGTTTTGTTTCGTTTTTCTGTATTGTTTTAATGTAAATTACCAACCACCACCTACGCAACCGTGTTTTTGTTGGGTACCATGCTCCTTTTGTGTGGTCTCTGTCACAGTTGTCAACTTGAGTGCTCCCAGGCATGCATTGCCATGTGCAGCAATGCAATTTGTGTTCACAATAAGACCGGCTTTGTGCACAGACAACCGAGAAGCGAAGCCCAGTGAGCGATTCAGAAAGCGACAAAAACGGGGCCCAATCACAGTCTTTTACTCTTGAAACCGTTTATTTCTTTTTTTTTTTTCTTCAAATCATATACCATCACCTTCAAGCAAGCTCTACAACAGTGGTTCTCAAATGAGGGAGGGTCGTCAGATCTGAAGGGGTCCGCGAAGCCATTTCTATGATCCGCGAAACCCTCACCCGCGTTTTTCTTTGAGCGTGATTGTGCCACGTATTGATGAACTGTCCAAAATGAAGTGATGTGGCACGTTTGATGTTTTTTGTAGCAATTAAAGATACGCTTGTGCGAATATTCGTATGCTTCAAATATTCAAATGAATAGTAGAGTATTCGATTCGAATTTAAATTATTGAAAATTTCGAAATATTTGCAATGAATGAACAGGTGTATATTATTTCGCCTGTAACGGCTTGTAAAGGTAGTTTTGCTGCAGTGTCGGAGTGCTAAGCCGTGAAAGCATCTAACCAGGGGAAATCCGCTTTGCCGCGAAGTTCCCCTGCAAATTTAAAAAGGGCCCCTGCAACACTTTTTGAGCATAGTCAGAAAACACTCCCTATCGACAGTCGAGAGCACGCGAGCCAAATATAGCGCAGCACGCGTCCCGCGATTCAGAGCAAATTCTCAAAGCTAGCTGAAAATTGCTCTCTTCTCTCGGCAAATGGCACCACAAGCTCAAAAATCACTCGCGACAGCTATTGCATTAGCCATTGGCTGATTTGAACCCGGCGCGCTCGGTCGTCACTGGAGCCGCAGCGGGATGCCGCGACGTGTCCACGCGTGCGGGCGCGATCACGCTGAAAGTCGCGTATTCTAAGAAAAAAATAAAAAAGAGGTGCTCAAAGTCAAGAGGTGCGTGTGACGTATATTCTTTCGCCCTGCCATTCCTCTCTGCTTAGCTTCCAGCTATTCAGTCGGGACGAAAAAAGAGAATTAAATTGCAGCGTGCGACTGATTTTCGGAACTCCGCTACTCGTACTAGACCCATTTTTCTTTGTATGTCATATACACTATTCAAATTCGATTCGAAATTATTCGACCAAAATCACTATTCGCTTTGATGATGAAATAACTTTATTGGCTATTCGCCTTGAACCTAAAATTCACTATTCGCACAAGCCTAGTAAAAGGCACCTGTTTCACGCTCCAGTTGTGTCAATTTACCTATGTACTCTCCCTCCCCTAGCTCCACTGCTAGGTGTCCCCCATCATTTCCACCAGTCCACAAGGGGTCCCCGACACATTCATGGCTGAGAACCACTGCTCTACAGTATGCGGTTCATTAGCAACCTATAACTACACCTAAAGGCAAGAAAAAATTTGTGTTCTTGGTCTTTAAAGACAGTTATTTTACTGAACAGATGTCTTTAGCATCCTGGAAATTTCATAGGAGATCCTGACATCAGTGCACAACGAAACACATTTTCAACAAAAATGATGTTTCTTCAATAAGCATAGGGTCATTCCATGCCAAACGTCCTAGCCATTCTGGCGACCATCTCAAATGTATTAGAAAAAAATTGTGCGGCAGGCAACTCAAGTTGCATGCACGTTTCACAACGGTGCACCACACTTGTGGCCACCCATGGCCTATCGCACGGGAGTTAAGACCAGTAGGCCATTGTCAGTAATGGCTTGGAGACCTTGAAGGGACCGACAACTTGCCAGAATGTGTGATTAGATTTTGGTAGAAGTGAAAAGACCGTGAACTATAGTGAGAGATTTCAAGCATTCTTTTTGGGAGCTAAGCAGGATTCATATACCTATATCGTGTTTAATAGTACTATCAGAAACCTGTACGTCGCACAGCCTAGCGGAACGGCTTTGAATCTCGAGTATCAAGTCGATTACTTTGCTGTATATAGTCGCGTAGTCTGATGTTGTTGTGTGCACCATAATTAGTTCTCAAAATTAGAGGGTATATTATTATCAAGCCCCACTCACTTCCGTGCTGTTTGCGAGAGAACGGTAGCTGCATGGTGGCAAGCAGCGCTGCCTTCACGGTCGCCCATGGACCGTGCCGAGCCGGTGCGTGTGGAGCGTGCAAAGTGCACGCATTCGCAGTAAACCACAGCGCTCAAATACAAACCACTCTCGTGCTTACTGTTTGCGGCATACGTTGCCACACGACTTCACCACAAATAGAAAAATTCTGATTACAAATGTCCCGCGGCGTTTTCCACAATACCAAAGACCATTACACTAAAGAAATAGGTACCATAAAAATTGGTTGTCGGTCCCTTCAACTGTTCCGACACCGGGTGCATCACCATGGAGAAAAATGCAAACAATGAAACGCAGAAGAAAGTATTTTTGATTTGAGGCCAAGACTTCGCACCAATATTTTAAATAGCAGAAGGAGTAACAAAAGAAAACACTCTATCTGTTTGCATTTCTATTGGCCATGGTAGTACACAGCTTCTTTGCAAAGAACAAGAATGGAAACATTTTTTGAGGCGGTTAGATCTTTAATCCCGTGAGGGCTACCATGCTTATTTACAAATGATATATGAAGATTTTTTGTTATCCCCTCAATTTCATCCTTCAACGTAAATACAAAATATATACAGGGTCGAAGAGTTAACAAAAACCTCTTCACTTCAGTCACAGCTTCATGGTGGAAGAAAAAACAAAATTCTATTTACATCAATACACTCATGCACAAAAAACAATACCACACTCTCGACAGTGTTGTACTTCGAAATGCGTTAGCTCTCATGCTGCTTCTGGCATCGCGCATACATTCATACCGAGCTACCAATTTACATAAACCAAAGCACCTGCTTACGCGTTTGCTTTGTGCAGGTGCTTTTTTTTTTCTTTTGTGATTTTATGAACACGCTTCTCTCCTACTGTCTAGCGGGCTTAAAGCGAATGCGTGAGCGACACGCCACGACACGAACCGCACTGCCACTGAGCCAAGACATACGTGTGGAATGACTGGCAAATTTCAGGACAGTTTGCAGGCACAAAGTTTATTATAAATGACAGTGCCCAAAGATGGAGAAAGAGACAGACCCCTGAGATTGCTAATTTACAAGCTGGCACACAAAGATTTCCGAGGAGCCAACAAGCCTCCCTGCAATGTTCTCAAATAAAAGTTGGAACTCAGCACTTCCATGTTGCGAACTTCGACCTCCTCCTAGATGCTGCGAACGTCGAGGTTCGAGGTACTGTTTCAGGCAAACCTACAGAAGGAGGGGGGATTCGCATCACATCTTTCCCTAACAGGTTTTCCGAGCAGCAGCAGCGTCGAAAGACTTACAAGAACATACTAAACAATTTTCAAAGTACACACGAGGCATTTTGTGTGGCCCAGTTGCTGTCAGAATGCACAAGTTTGACAGTCCAATGAAAAAGTCATATCTGACTGCATTTGCATTTCCACCGTGAGGTCTCTAAAATATTCACCAAATAGCGTGCATTTTTTTTTAAACATTTGCAAACTTGGTGTTTCTTAATCAAGCCCGTGGTTTGTTTATTGTTGTTTTTATGTTTTTTTCATTGTTTCAAAAAACGTGCCAATGCAAGCTAACACACGCATATGTTCACAAATGCGGGCACAAACACACACACACGCTCACTTGCACCTGACAAATGAATTCTACTAGCACTTACATTAATTACACGATGAGTGTGCATACACACACACATGCCACACACACACACACATTGTCAAGAGCACATTGTACAACGAGATGAGGGAGAGCTCCCAAGCTCAGACATGTCTCTCCTCTCTGCTCTTTATCCCCTTTCCCAAACCCCCAAAATAAAAAGGCAAAGAAAAAAAAACAGAGAACCCTTCCCACGAAGAAGTCCCTGTTTATGAGGTATTATCACAGCTACAGAACCAAGCCATGGATGTGGCCGTCGCTGATGCGCACCGTTAAAGGGCAAAAGAATGTTGAAACACGAGTGCACAACAGTTACTTGAACGGACTAAAAAAAAAAACACTGCCGCAGTACCTTTGTTTTTTCTCTCAAAGCAAGACCTCCCCTTTGTATGCTTTGCCGCCCCCCAAACATAGTTAATGCATTTGCACAATGTTTTTTCTTCTTCTTTACAATTGTACACACTGTTGAACAACACGTTTGCAACGCTCGGTACAGCATCTGTACCAGTGACACCAACACAGCCAGTACCACAGTTACCAGAAACAAGCATTTTGCACAGAGCCCTTTACGTCTATCTATTCATCGTCTTCTTGTCTTGGGTTTGTTATATTTGGGAGGGCCACAGAAACAAAAAGAGGGGAGGAAGCTACTGTACAACTGAAGTTCACTTTGATCAGCCTATCTCTCAGAAACAAAGCTTACAGCAGATTGTAAAAGGACTGTATGCTTTAATTAAAAAGGGGCAATCAACTACTCCCACTGGCGGCTAAACAGATGAATGCAATTCCTCAGCTCGAATTTACACGGCAACACTGCTAATTTTGGATGCTGAAGCTTGCAAGCATTGGAGTGTTCACAAAGGCTATGTGTGACAGTCAGGCGTAAGAATCATCTTTCGCATTTTAGGCAAATAGGAGTGAATTTTTGAAATGCTTTTCTACGTTGAACATGTAGACCAATTGGGCAAATGCTAAATTGTACTCTGGGACAAATCAAGATAGATCTGCACCTAGTGACCAGCACAAAATAAATACCGCCAGCGGGAAAAAACAACCTGGAAAAGACGGAGACGAAAAGCCGACAGAGGCAGCGGCACCACCACCAGCGGGCAACCACCGCATTCTCTACTCTTCCCGTTTCTCGGTGCCGACAACCAACGACAAACGGTAACAAACAGGAGGGCCACAGCTGTCACAACATGCGTCAGTTGAGCAGAACACAAAGGTTTTTTTTTTTTTTTCCGGCGTCCAGCCAAAAAGAGGCGGCGGCGACGACGAGGTATCCTGCCCCAATCGGGTGAGCGTCGGTGGGCCTGATCTAGGCACCTCTCCCAGATGCACCGCACTGCTAGTTCCAATGGCCGAGTGGGAGAAGCGGCTTGTGCCGACAGTGGCCTTACGCCTTCGGATGAGGCAACGTGAACTGCCATAGCCCGGACGAGCTGGCAGCGGTAAACTCGGTAAAACTCCAGAAGGCGGTGGGGCGGCTGTCAGGTCACGTCCATCGGCAATGCCCCATCCGGCTCCAACTTGACTCGACCGAGGTTGCTGCTGCTCAGCTCATGGCGTGCCCTGTGAGTACAGTTCAAACCATTTATAATGTAACCACTTACACTGCAAGACCAATTATATATAATGCAGTTTTTTTCTTACTAGCGTTTACCCTTCCAGAGAACTTCATGCACACGCACAATGCTTATGGTGTGGGCCCCGGAGGTGAAAGACCAATTGTAATGGGGCTGACGGAAAATTTTCAGAGACACAAGGGACTGTGCGCACATTTCAGGGGTGGTTGATCAGCCACAGAGAAAGGAACCACAGTGTTACAAATCAGGAAGAAATGTAGAGAGAACGAACGGGGAATATTGAAGAAAAATAAAACCACATCATCTCCCCTAACGGGCAAACATGGTGGGATGCGAAAGCATCACGGCGGCTTCTTGGTAGACGGCGGCTCAAGGCAGAAGACTCACGTTGCCTCGTCCCTTCGAGATCAGGAGCTGCTGCTCGACGTAGTCGTTGCGCTTCAACTATTCAAGCCTGAAGTTCAAGGTCGGCTTGATAACGCTGATGTTCCACTTCGAGGTTCCGAGCCCATGTTGCTTCTGTAGAAGGTTCCTGCTGACGTTAACGTTCATATTCGGCTTCCCTGGCTAGATTTTTGGGGTCCGCTTGATGTTTTTGCTCGACTTCTCGAGCCTTCCTCTGCTCCGCGGCGGGGTTGCTGCCACTGCAGCTAGCACCGAAGTTGACGTTGTTCATGACGTTTCGCACACCATTGCACAGTGAGAGAATGATGAAAGCACAGTGAACGCGTGCTTTATACTGCACCGCGACACTTGCGCTGCCTACCAGCGCCTGAATTATGAACCTGTCAAAAGAAACAGAAATCGTTTTCATTTTACAGCTTTAAATAGCAAACCTTTAAATGATTCTACAGTTAAATTATATAATATGCAACCTTAAAGCATACTTTTATGCACAGTGCGAATTTTCCATATGCTACAGAAATGAGGACCCAGCTACAGAAAACATACTTCAAAATTACATAACATGTCGTATTCCACCTCTTGAGTGTGCACACACGAGATAAACAAAAATAGACAAAGATGGAACCTATGCCACCAAGGCAAGAAAGATGGATGAAGTGAGAGCTGTTGCAAGCGCTTCGCATTTTCTGCCATCTGCTACAAAACAATTGGTTCTAGCATAAAATACCTGTGATGAAATGGTGTTAGATTTTTCAAGCTGAAAGCTACGTTCCCCGTGAGTACTTGACAGCCGGCATTGATGGTGGCACGCATTTCATGAGTTGCTTGCTTGAAATTTTTCGGTACGTCATGAATTCCCGATACTCTGCAGTAAAGGGTTAGAAAGAGAGTTTTATATGCAATAATTTGCTGCACTGCACCTGTGGCGGAGAGATGAGTGCACACCTGCATAGGAGAGGCAAATAAGGGAGAGTTGCACATGCGCAGTATGGTTGTAAAAGCCTCAGATTGGACGCTGCCCCAGCATAAAATGCCCTCCCATCTAAAAAAAGAAAACAAAGAAAAGATATGGGTGGGGTAGGGAGCAGCACAATGCTTGCATGCAGTGTGAGGGGGGGAGATATTGCCTGAGCAACGTCAAGTCTACGCTCCCTGTGCTTCGGCTGCTGGTCAACCATGAGCTGCGCTCTGAAAAGTTGCCTGCGCCTGCATGAAGAGCAGTTAATAGTCTTCGGCTCTTCTGTTTTGTATCGGGAAAATAATTGCGTCGCCGTAAAGCACACATATCGTGTGTGTGACCTTGATTCTCCCACAACTCACGTTTTAATTAAAGAGGCATTGCAACACTTTTTCAGCATGATTAGAAAAAGCTGCTGATCAGGGTAGCCGAGGCTCATAAAAATATGCCAGCCAAACAATACAGTGCAGCAGCAAGTTGACCGGAATTCACACTTTACTTTTAAAGTCAGCTGGAAATTCTTCCCTCATCTTTCTACAAGTGATACCACGTACGTTAATGACCGTGCCACATATCCAATTCATGGGTGTTGGCTGAATTGGGCACTGTGGACTATTTGCAGTCAAACTTCTTTCATACACAACCACTTAATGTGTAATTGCGGTTTATACATAGTAAGAAGAATTTCCCGCACAGTCCTCATCGAACCCCATGTATTGGCTGACCGCTTAAGCCACAGTCGCTTGTGGCGTTACATATGGTTAGTACGTACTATTTTTGTTCTTGTTATCAACCCACAGGCCGAAAAATTGGCAAAATTTCATGATTGCAGATGTTCGATTCACAAGCTGTGACAATCGAGCTACAAAAGCCAGCAATAGTGACGTCAACACATGGCCAAGTTGACATATTTTCTGCTCATATTGCTGTTGCCGATCACAGCCTGCAAAAGCATGGTCTTCGAAATTGGTTTTTGCCCAAGAACTCCTGGTAGGGGGTGCGAATTCGCTGTCACTTTCAAATTCAATCCAAGTGTTGTAACGGCTCAAAAGCTCTACACCTACATTATTTTTGTGCAGCATGTCGTGTTTATTTTTAATTTTTGTTGTGTCGTGCGCAAAAACTGCAATTGAATTCGCACACGAAGACTGCATCTTATGCCGAAGTACTACGTCTTGAGTATGAAAGAAAAACTTTAAATCACTTGCACCATTGAAAATGTGGCAATGAAATCTGCGGTAGCCTGCAAAAAGAACTTGCCTCTGACAACTGTGTGCGGAATATGGAAAGCTCGTGAAAAGTCGACGGGCGGCACAGGCAGCGATTTGAAGAGGCGCTGCATCAGAGGCTCTGCTCATCCCAAAGTGGAAAAGACCCTGCTTCTTTGGTTGAAAAAGGCATGGAGCATGAATCTGTCAGTTAGTGGGCCCCTTCTGACTGAAAAGGCACAAACTTTCACAGATCAGCTGAGCTGCACCAGTTTTGCCTGCAGCAATCCCTCGTTGTTGCAGTTTCAAGCCGGCTATGGCATAGTGGGGAAGGATGTTTGCAGTGAGGCTGCTGTAGCAGACAAAGGCGGCGCTGTCAAATGGCAGAACACCGATTTGCAGAAAGCCTTGGCAGCCTACGATGCCGCCGACATTTTCAATTTTGATGAGTTGGCACTTTTCTATTGCCTGCTTCTGAACAGGACATTGGCATTCAAGAACGAGAAGTGCGCCGGCGAGAAACAAGCCAAGAATCGGATATCTGTCACTTTTGGCATGAATATGACCGGTAGTGAGAAGCTGCCATTGATGGTGATCTGCAAATATGGAAACCAACGGTGCTTCAAAGGCGTTCGGATACTCTCCGGCATTGTTTACAAACGAAACAAAAAGGCCTAGATGACCGCTCAGCTGTTTGAGGAGTACGTGTGCCCGCTAGACCGCCGTTTTGCTGCCAAAAAAAAGAGCATGCTGATAGTACTTGACAATGCGTCGGCGCATGCCGATGCGGATAATCTGTCGGCTAGCAAGCTGTTGTTTTTGCCGCTCAACACAGAAGCACTTGCCCAACCCCTCGATCAGAGCATCATCCGCTCTGTAAAGCAGATTTATAGCAAAAATCTGCTGTGAAGGTTGTTACTCGCTGTGGAGAGTGACAGTACGCACACGATAGTCCTGCCATACACTTGCTTGCACATACATGAATGCAGCTACAGCCTGCACCAATACAGAATTGTTTCGCATGAGAGCAATTCACGATGCTTGAAGAAGGCAACCAAGACAACGAGGATAGTGAGGACACCAAAGACTGCGAGAGCCTCCTTGTTGAGGTGCTCGAGCGGCAAGGAGAAGCAGTGAAAAAGTTCAACTTCGGCACCTTCCGAGATGTCGACGGAGCTGTCGTTACATCTCTGAACTTATCTAACAGCGTCATTGTTGCCGCCGTCACACCTCATTCTGCTTCAAGAAAAGGTGAGGGGGACAGCGATGTCGATATGAACGACGGTTCCTTGTTATCTAAAGCGGCGTGTAGTGCAATTATGATGCGATCCTAATGAACTGAGTGGCTCGGGGCCTCACCGACTTTGAAGATGCTGTCGTCGTGGCAAGTGAGTATCACGGATTTTTTTGCTGCCTGTCCCTAAATGATAAATAAACTTGTGTGCGCGTGTTTGTGAGGATCCTGGCGTTGTTTTCTCGCCGGTAAGTAGCGGCAAAACTGACATTGACGATCAATTCAGACATGACTTAGTGCGTACCAAAACGTGGTTCCCGCTTAGGAGACCACACAAGACCGTTATGTTTAGGGGACCACACAAGACTTTGCGGGTATAAATTGGCAGCAGCAAGCACAGGACCGGATTAACTGGCGGAACATGGGAGAAGCCTTTGTCCTGCAGTGGACGTAGTCAGGCTGATGATGATGATGATGATGATGACAAGACTTACAAAGAGGGTTCAGCTTAAGGGGACCGACTGGTCTTTGGACCAAAAAGTGACAAAAAAATTCATTTTTTCAAATTGACATGTTTGGTTTCTGCAAGTATTTTTCCATCCCTCTACAAATTTTCACACACCAGAAAGTAGTAATTTTTTTGTAATGTCATTCTAACTGTCCAGATTCTTGGTGCTGTTAACATGCAGAACCTGCAAAAAAAATGGGAAACGACTTTGAGGCTTGTTTATAATTTGCCAGCACCTGTGTCTAAAGCTCTGCTACCAATTTATGAGTGTCTTTATGAGGATTGCAAAACATGCGCACCATGATTGTTGCTTTTTGAAGAAACTGTGTTTTCAGTTTTTTCGATTTTTCTCAAAAAAGTAAATTTACAGCTTTTCAATTTTGAGGCCTCAATATCTCTGCACCTAGAGCAGGTACAACAAAATTCTCTTTGCAGTGCAAACTTCTTTGTGTGTAGAATGCAAGTGTGGCAGCGGAATTTAGAGCATAAGCCTTTTTAATTAATTACTAATCAAAATTGTAACATAATTCCAACTGCTTTTGAAAATGGATAGTTCATTTTGCTATAAAATAACCAATGAAGCCCTAAAAACAAAAAACTATTCCATACCTTCACTCTATAGTCGTTAGTCTATGTTGGCATATACTAAATATCACTTTTAATTTAGCAATTT